AGTACATGGCTAACACTAAAACGTGGTCAAAAACAGGGTCTCGCTAGAGTCAAGGCATGGCTAGAACCCGAGCATGGGAAAAACCAAAGCCAGACATGAGCCAGATCATGGCCAGAGCAAAAGCATGGTTAGAGCCAGAGCATAGCTGAAGTTAATGAATGGCTAGAACCAGAAAATGACTAAAGGCATGAAACGGCTATAGCCAGGACATGGTTAGAATTCATAAAGTGTATATGTATTATATATACAGTATGATGACACAGCCATGTTACGTAACATTTCATTATGACTTATTTTTATTTATTAAGGAAGTTACGGTGGGTTTTTTGGGTCTAAATCGGTTCCGGAGGAAAGATTTTGGGATTTTGAGTAATATGTTATTCTACGAATCATGTCTATATAGACTTCATTTTGCGAGTTCATAGCTTCGACGGTATTTTCTTTATGGTATTTGTCGTAGTTTGGTTGTAAACGTCATAAGGTGGGTAAAATACTATGAAGTATTACTAGTTTAACTACATATTTAGTCTTGTCGCCAGTTTACATTAACATAAGTTTAAACCTAAAAAACGACAACACTTTTTAAGACACTAAACGTCATTTTCTTGCAAACCACCAAGTAAATGTACATATGTATAATTAGATATAGTTTGTCGACAATTGTTAAAACAGAATGACTCCCACAAGGGCATATTAAACTTGCTTTTACCATGTATTGCTTCAAAACATACTCTATTACATATTGTTTTAGTTTGAGCATGTTTTTGTTAGGTATTATACTGTATGACAAGGACTTTTACACGTTTTTGATAGAGCTGAGATGGTTTAAATCGAATTTTTTGTTGTTTTGGAGTTTGTTCCCTAGCTTAACATCACATTTAACGTAGAAGGGGTAAACAACCTGTTTCCTAAAATCAAGGGCTTTTTTGAAACAAGTAAAGGCTAGGATAAGGTTGCAAAATGACTAACTTAAGGCTAGGAAAACGGCTAGAGTAGGAGCTAAAGTAGAGGCCAAGGTAGGAGCTAGGATAAGGTTAGAATAAAACTTAAAACTAAGAAGTTGATGTGGGCTATGATAGGAATATAGTAGGGCTATAATAAGGTTTGCTTGAGGCTAGAGTAGGGCTAAACCATTTCTTTAAAAAAGCTATCGTAAGGCGGTATAACTTTTGTTCAGAGTTAGGGGAACGGTTATGATACGAATTAGAGTAAGGTTATGATAAGGCTGGTTTAAGGCTAGCGAAATGGCCAAGGTAGAAACTAAAATACGGTTAGAGTAAAGATATAATAAACCTTAACTTAAATTTAACTCACCTTAACTTAAGGCTAAGAAAATGGCAATAGTCGGGGCTTGGATAAGACTAGAGTAGAGCTATGGAAGAGCTTAAGAAAGGCTGACTTAAGGCGAGTGGGACTGGATTAGGCAAGAGTAGAACTGAAATATCCGAACTTTTAAGTTTTTTTATTTAAAAAAAGTTTTTAAAAAATATTTTCAGTTTCCAAGCCTCAATACCCACGCCTTTTTAACCCACCGCAATTTGTAATGCATAAAGTTTGTTATACATTAAAGTTTTGTTTTTGAAAAGAAAAAAGTTTGACTTTTTAAAATGAGACATATAGCCGGCGGAAATCAACTTTTTCGAATTTTTGATATTTCTTGAAATTGAACAATTATGCGGCTTAATGTAAATATTATAGTAGACTGTGACCAATATTTTGGTATGTCTTGCAACGGACTTTTTGATTTTGGATTTACTGTGCAGTTATTATTTTTTGTTCTGTCAGGCTAAAGCTATGGCAATGGCTGGCTAAACCTTGTTTTCAAATTTTCAATTTAAAAATTCAAAACTTTATTATTCAATTTTATTTTTAAAAGCTCTATAATCAGTTTTGACATTTTAAAACACATCCTAATTTTCAATATAAATTATAAATCTTAAAGTTTTGTAAAATTTAATCTTGTTTGTTAATTTTCTCGAAAACTGTGGCCTAGTTACTTATTTATCGTCAACGTGTCTGGTTCTCATAATGAATAGTGCATTTACACTTTTAATACTACAGTGTTAATCTATGAGAGAACTTAGAACACTGTTTTTTTTGCGAAAAAAACGTCTGTGAGATTTATAAGGATTTTGTCATTATAAGTAAGGTTTGTTTTCGAAACGTGACGATTTTTGGGGATTTAATTGGATCGAAAGTATTATACGTACGAATTTAATTTTTGACATGACATCGCTAGTGAGAAGACTTGAAAGAGTGCCTACTAGGCCCGGCCTGGCTCTTAACAGCGTCGGGCTGCAGAAAACTTAAAAAGTGTCGGTCCAAAAAATTGGACCTGGCCCGGTTATTGAGAACTCGTGAGTTTTGTTGAAGGAAAAGGGGAAGGAGGGTCAAGGAAAAGTATTTTTTGAGGCTACATTCAAATAAAAAAAAATTATTTTCTAAAAGTTTTTAGTAAATGGTTTTTGGTTAGTCTAATGTAGGCTTCTTAAAACGCCAAGACCTTTTCTTAGTTTGAAGAACAAAAAGAAACGTTTGTTAATTAATAAACCGTGACATTGCCGATGTTTGGACGTTCTTTTTTTAAACTTTAAAACGTTTGGTAAACCTGTACTTTTCAATTTGTTTTTGAAGTCAGTAAACTCAAAAACAGCATTTCTAATTTTTGGATATTGTTGTACGTGGAAAATCGTAAACCTAGTATGAATTTTTAATTTTTAGCAAACGTTACTGAAGGACGGTCAGTCGAATAACGGAGTATGACATAAAATTTTGTAGGGTAGTTCACCTAATTTTTATTTTTTTCATATTTTGTTGTTTTTTGAAATGAGAAGGGTGCCACGGGACCACGTTAAATTTTTAAAAAAATTTTTGTTTAAGAATTTCTTTGACTTTTTAGATGTTTGTATAATACATATTGAAATTGCAACGGCCTATAACTCTTTTATAGACCATTTTTTTTATTTTTATTTATTTTAATTTTTTAGTTTTTGTCAAATGAACAGAGGGTACTACGTTCAACTTTTTTTAAATTTTTTTGCGATTTTTGTTAATTTTCAGTTTTTAGTATTAAACTTGTAACGACCAATACCTCTTTCGTAGTCTACGTCTTTTATTTTTAATTTTTTTAAAGTTCACCTTCGTTCTGAACCTTATCATTCTAAAGTTAAGTTTCAAAGCCTTTTGGAACGCGACTGAATTAATCAAAAAGGTTAATTTTAATATTATACCATTAGGATTTTTATATGTTATTTGTCTTATTACAACTTTGTAGGCGATAAATAAAAATGATATAACGTATAACTTGTAAAAGCAATTTTTTATAGTTTTACATTATCTGAATCTTCCTTACGGTAGTTTAGGACTTGCACATACATATCTAATGTGTTATATGATATTTGAATGATATGTATGGGTGGGTGTTACTGAGTGTGATAGCTTTTTTAGACAATGTTGCCAAAAGGCGTATTTTTTAAACGGTTCTAGCTTAAAAAAGCAGTTAGACAAATTTTCACTTTATAAATCGTATTTTAGGTAATTTTTGCAAAGAAAGCTTAAATACCGTATTTTACCAAACCATTTAGTATAATTGTTCATTTTAGTCATGAAGTAGCTTCCCCTCCGTTGTTAGTGTGTTGTTTTGAACAGTAGATTAAAGAAGAGAGTAAAACAAAGGATTAGCGGTTTTTTTTGGACACTGGCTACTCGTACTATTTTTATGTTGTGTCAAAAATAGTGGGCACAAGAAACCTTAAAATTACTTCCTAAAATTTCGTTTTTTCTTTTATTTTGACATTATGTACATTGTAGGGGTGGTGGAGGATTTTGGAAGTATAACATTTAGTTTTTTTGACGTTTGATATATACGGAATTGTTAATTTATTCAGGTTTGTTGGAATAAAGTATGTTTTAGTTTAGACTGGGAACATACTAAGTTGTTAAGGTTTTATGTAACACAAGAAGGCTATTGGTAGCTCTAGGGCTTAAGCTAAGGCATTGAAAATAAGCTTTAATATGGACGCTACCGCTAAGGCCAACGCTTAGGCTCAGAATCAGGCTCAGACTAATGTCAAGTCTAGTTCTAGACCTCAGGTTTAAGTACAAGTTTAGGCTGAGACTCAGGCTCAAGCTTAGGCTAAAGCTTACCTTTCGGCTTAGGCTCATGCTCAAGTTGACGCTCAAGACCAGGCTTATGCTCATGCTCACGCTATTGCTCATGCTAAATCTCAAGCTATCGCTTAGTCTAAGGCTACGTCTAAGATGCAATATAGTGCATAGAATCAATTTAAATGACCTAACTGATATATTGGATCTTCTACTGAGTATCAAAACGTTTATTGTATTTAGAGGATTAAACTTTTGTTTAACGTTTATAGAACGTTTATCTTGCCTATATTACTCTAAATATCACAAACTAATGTATCGTTATCACTCTATTGTTCTCATTTTGTTTATTTCATTTTTAGTAATTCAAAAACAATATTACACTGTAAAAGACAAACAAGCAGTATAATAGAGCTGTAAAACTGAGTCAAAATACGATGATAAGAAGTCAATTCAATTAGTACATCATAATATTAATATATGTTGGGATGATATCACGTTACAGTGGTTAATCCATCGTATATCCGCTTTAGTAACCGCTTGCAAAAGAGTGTTTTATTGGTATTTACATAATATTACTAGTAATTAATGCTATTTACTGTTACAACTAGTGAAATTAAATTGACATTTACTACTGTTTTGACATGACATATACAATTAATAAAATAGGGCAGAGAATGTTCGTATGTGTTTTTTTTTCTACTGGGTCTTTTACTTACTTTAATATAATGTAACATGCGGTATGTACCCTACCCTACCATATCTTTACTATAGTCAGCGTTTTTCTTACCGTTCGTGTTTTACACTACCGTTACATTACCGTGCTTTTTACATACAAAAATTAACTTACCTTTACCATTTCAGGGTTACAACTTTTACAGTAATCTGTAAGAATCATGTTTCTAGAAGACGAGGTTACTGTACCTATCTACTATGTAGTCTGTATGGGCTCGGTAATGTGTGGCATGTTTGTCGTATTTGCTGCGACGTATTTTAAGAACCGAAGACAATACGAACAATTTGATCTTGACTTACCACCAAGTGGCTATGATGACATTAAGAATGATAAGAGAGTCAATTGGCCGGTGGAGTCGAGGTTGAAGGAGGTGGTTACTGTGAACAACATCCAGCCACAGACCAGTTTAAAGAGCAAGGTTAAGGAGGCTTTGCCGTGGAAGAGCAGTGTAAGTTAGATATTGTTAGTGTAGTAAAAATTGGGTAATATACCATTGATGAAGCAGATTACAGTACCTGACAAAAATAATACAGTACTAAACAAAAAAAAATTTGGGTGTGATCATTTTTTTTTAAATTGACCGAGGACACTGCAGTTGCTCAAGATGTATTTTGTTACAAATAATTTCAGTCTCAACACGTAATCGACCAGTTGAAGCCAGAAAAAGTAGAGGAATTCAGAGGAAGACTGAACTTTGCCATCAGTTACAATCACGATTCAGAAACCATGTATCTTCACATTCTAGAAGCCATCGATCTGCCTGTCAGAGATCTCACTGGTAAGGTTTTAAAATTTTTTAAAATTTTTTTGAAACAAGATTCGATTTTTAATTTTTTGATAGGCTAATTTGGTAGATAGGGTCTAATAAGGGCTTTGGCAATAAAAGATATTATTATCGTTATATTACAGTAACTTTTCTTACTGATGGTAAGACCAAAAACGTTTGTCTCTTATCTAAGGCTAAGGCTAAAACTAAGGTTTGGCGGTTATTTTTGGCCTATTAAGAAGGGGGGGGGGGATTAAAATTTTTTTTGATTTTGAAAAAACTTTTATGTTGTCAGATTTGTAAAGGCTAATTAATGCTAACCTAAGGTTAACGTTAAAGCTATAAATAAAGGCTTGAAACCTTTGTTCAAAGACGACAAGGCTCTATTAAAAATGTAGAACAAATTGTAAAATACGTATATTTATTCCTGTTTTATTCATATAGAACATAGTGTTTTAAATTAAAATTTTAGAAAAGTAGAAGCTTGCAATTTTTAAAAAACTTTATTTTTAGGAAGCTCCGACCCCTACGTCAACTGCTGGTTACTGGAAGAGCCGGAGCAATGTCAAAGAACTCGTGTTATGCACAGGAACTTGAACCCCAAATTCCAACAAATTTTGAGCTTTCCAGGTTAGTTAACATTTTTAACTTTTTTTTTTAATTTTAGAGTTAGTAGTACTGCTTAAAGCTTTAAAACTTTTTTTAGTACTATATAGTACAACCCTAAAATTTTTTTAGAACTTTGAGTATCTTTAGTGCAACAAAACAAATTTTTTTTTCGCTTTTTAATACTACTTATTACTATAGAACGTTAATACTACTTAGTGCTTTTAAGCTTCGGTAATTAATAGTACTATCAAAGTTTGGTACTGATTAATACTGTCAAGCTTTGGTAATGCTTAGTACTATTAAGCTTGGGTATTACTTAGTACTATTAAGCTTTGGTATTACTTAGTACTATGAAGCGTTGGTACTAGTTAGTGCTATTAAGCTTTGGTACTTGTTAGTACTGTTAAGATTTGGTACTACTTACTACAACTAAACTTTTGCTCTGGCTAGTACTAAGAAGCTTCGGTACTACTTAGTACTGTCAAAAAAAAACTTTTAAAAAATTTTTTCTGTTTAACTTTACTTGCACTATTCAGTACCAAAAATTTAAGCTAATCAAAGTGGTGTTTGATCTCTGTACTCTTTCTCTCTCTCAACTTCTCCAAAATCTATTAGTTTCTTCGCAAATTTGGGCAGAAAAAGGGGCCGGAAATGAGTTGAAATGACTCTCTTATTGCATTTGCGCATCTCAAACAATAAAAGCAGTAGTTCGCAAGGTTCGTGCTGAGGTTACACGCTTTTGTTCAGTTTATGATATTTGGGAACTACTTTTTTTGAAGTTTAGGGCTAATAACTGTACGATGGGCAATGAAAGGCTTTTTTAGTACTAGTAGAGCGCTTATTGTATATTTTTTACTTTGCTGTCTTAGTTCTAGCTTTAACCTAATCTCTAGTACTCGCCTGTCTAAGTTTCAGTCTTAGCTTGAATCCTAGCTCAGAGCCCTAGTCTAGAACCTTAGCCTAGAGTTCTAGCCCAGAGCCTTAGCCCAAAGCCCTCGCCCAGCGCCCTAACTCAGAACCTTACGCCAAAGCCTTAGCATAGAGCCCAAGCCCAGGGGTCCAGCTCTAGCCTTAGCTCAGAACCCTAGCTCCGAGCCCTATCTGAACCTCAGTTTCAGCCTTACCTTTAGCTTTAGCCCACAGACCCGTCTCAGCTCTAGGCGCAGCAGTAGGCTTAGCTCTCGCTCGATTTCTAGTCTTAGCTTTAGCCCAAACCCCTAGCCCTCGCCCCGTGGCGCTACATTCAGCCTTAACCTTAGTCCTAGTCTTACTTATAGTCTTAGTCCAGACTTAGCTCAAGCTAATTATGACCGTAGCCTTAAATTAGCTCTAGCTCAGAGCTCTAGCCTTAGCCTTAGCCCTAGTTTAAAGCTCTTGAACTAGTCTTAGTGCTGTTTTAGCTCAAGTTAACTTTTTTTTAGTTTAACCTTAATCTAATTCTTCATTATAGCAAAATTTAAAATTTTGAATGACATTTTTTATTAAAACTGCAATCTTGTTTACCGTCTCGTCTTACATGCGCGGCTTTAAATGGCCTTATTTAACTTTTTGTTTATTTGGCCGCCAATCCCTTCAAATTGTTTTTGACTTTTTGGGTGAAAACACGCGGATTAGCGTGTGTAATGGCACTTTAAGTTTATTTTTACTCGACTATGTACTCCAAATGGGAGAGGCTCTTGACTTTTGACTCATTAGGCTGTATTTGGTTGTTTTACATTGTCATGTGGCACTTTGGAGTATATAACTTGTTGATGATGATTTTTGGGTATCTTTGCTTACGGTAGAGTACTGTAACAAGAAAAATCAGTTTCATGTATTACCAAGTGTTAAATACGGTAGATTTAATTCATAGTTTTGTTAAAGTACGAAGAGTATTAGGTGTTGACATAAAGAACCCGCCATACTTTGCCTGTAATTTCCTGTAAAAAATGGCGGGTGCTTTATGTCGGCACCTAATACTACTGTAAGCCGAAAAAATTAAGGTACTGTAGTACTGTAACTTTAAAAAATGAGTTTTTAAATGCAGTTGATCATAAAAATTAATTTTACAACAATTCTTAGTATTAATACCGTTTGTGGCATCTTCATCTCAACTCGAATAAGATACTTGAACTTTTGTTATTTGGTTCTAAAACTCTTAGTTTTAGTAGAAAATGGCAATAACAACAAAATTTATAAAATTGAAAAATTTTTACTTTTTTTAACAAAAAAAAAGGCCAAAAAGTTTGAGAATCAAGGGCTTATGCCAAGTAATAGCAGCGTAAATTAATACGTGCTATTTTGCATTAGAACGTACTAATTCAGGTCAAAAAATGACTTGGGTTGAACCAGAAGTAGCGGGACACTTTTTTGTTACTTTTCAATTAATAAGTGTCTCGCTACTTTTGGTACAATCTAATATATCAATCAGTACCTGTCATGAGAAACGGGCCGGCTGGACCTGAGCAAAATTTCGATCGGGGCGGGCCTGACATTTGAACCCGGCCCGCCTAACATTTGGGCTCGGCCCGTTTATCATGTCTAAACAATGCAACTTCAAAATGGCTATTCACAATCAAAAATTACTACTCTTTGCGAAATAGTACCATTTATGTAAATTAGTACGACTTTAAAACTAATGGTGCTACTTTGCACGAGAACGTAGTACTCCTTCAGATTGAAAAAGTACCGTTTTATACAAACCAAGACGGCTTTTAATAAAAACGGTGCCATTTAACATCTAAAAGTACAGTACTCTCTCTGTATAATCAACCGAAAGGATCGACATTATGTGTTTACTATAGGGGGTGTTGTCTTTACAGAGAGGTTTTTTAGTGCAAATTGACTTGGCGGGGCGAAACTTCTTGTTTACTTTAAGGAGAGTTGCTTATACAGATGGTTCACTATATAGAGGGACCACTGTACCAGTTAAATAGTGCTATTCTGAACTGTTTTGTACTACTTGTACCTTTTTTAACAAAATTGTACTACATTTAGTTAAACAGTACCACATTGACTTAAAAAATCATGAAAATGGCTATAAAACTATATTTTTTAAAAATTTTCTACGAATCTTTGGACCGACCCAAAATTGACTTTTATTATTTGTTTTTGCAAAAAAATGTAAAAAGCATTTAGGAAAAACATATTATTCATGCGGATTGAAGTTCACATAAACCGCCATTAAAACCTTTGCCTTTTCGGCGTTTCCTGTTTTTGATGCATATCTTTTTCGGTTTACCTTTTCGAACACGAGGCTTGTTAATTCCTTCCGGAACATGAAAAAAATAATTTTTGGTCTTTTTGAAGTTTTTACTTGCTATACAGTAAGTAACCCCTTAGGTGAGGGGTTGCTTGTATAACTGTAATGGTAGGGTAAGGTATACTATTGTAGAGTACAAGGTGCGCCAAAAGTTCTGTTACAGAGCTTTACCGGTTGTTTTCTCTATGTTGCGGTTAAATTATTTAATTTTTTTATTGACTAATTTATAACTAGTACTATATGTTACTATTGCTAGTTGTTGTTTTAGTTATAATTGTTGCTAAAATAAATATTTGATTAAAAAACCGTGTAACAGAACTTTTGGCGCACCGTGTATGGAGAATAGGGTAAGTTAGAGTAGAGTAGAATAAGTTAGGGTACATTTTATGTAAAATTTTTTAAATTTGTGTGTTTGTACTATCTGTACAATGTTTTCTTTTAGCCTTTTTCCCCCGGAACTAAACTTAAAATTTGGTATTTAAAAACAATGTTAAAAAGCGGCGGGGTAATTTTAAAAGGGGGCATAAAAAGACAAAAAAAAATTTTATTTAAAATATTTTTTAAATTTAAAAAATTTTTTTTTGTTTTCTAGTTTTATCCCTTCCGCTCCAATTTCTTTCTTTTTTAGTATATGTAAAATTTACCCCGCTCTCTCTTAGCCGCTCATTCTGGCCTAGAATTAATTTTTTTCTTGTACTTATTAAAATGAAACACCAAAAAATTCAAAATTGAATTAACATAATAAGTAGGTATTTGCAAGTGCATGTCTCATATATATTTGTAAGTGTAAGTGTATATCTCTACAGTAAAAAAAGTTAATTTTATTTGAAAAAAAATACATTCTGGGAGGTGTACGTTTACTATTATAGGATATAATAATGGGGTTTTAAGCTTTCAAGACACCATTTTTTTGATTTTATTACCTATTTTTGGCTTATAATAGTCACAACTTTTAGTAATGTTTATCAATCTTTTAATCTTGTAGTACTATGTATAATAGCATGGTTTAGACATTTATTGTCTTATTGGAGTAAAAACAAGTCTTGTTATCAATCTACACTGGAACACCTGCATAACGAATCGCTCGGGGACTTAAAATTAGTTCGTTATAAAAGAGTTTCGTTATAGAGGAGTTCGTTATACAGGAGTTCTACTGTTATGTATTTATACAGTACTCTCTCTATATAAGCAACCCAAAAAGATTGACATTTTGTGTTTACTATAGGGGGTGTTGTGTTTACAGAAAGGTTTTTAGTGCAAATTGACTTGGCGGGGCCAAATTTCTTGTTTACTATAATTAGAGGTGTTTATACAGATGGTTCACTATATAGAGAGACCACTGTACGTTAAAAAGTGGGTAAATTATAGTAGAGCAGGTTTTTAAAAAAAAATTTTTTTAGTTTTTTTTTAAATTTTTTTTATTTTTTTTAATTTTGTAGTACTGCACTATAAAACATTTTGCAAACATCAAGTACCGACTATTTATGTACAGATGACCTTAAGTTTTCGTTTTCGCATCCCAGAGGGCATAAATAATTCAAGCCTTAAAATACACTTGTTAACAAGTTGGCAATTACCGAATGTTTGAGTAATTTGAAGCCATTTCTTTGCGAGTTAAATTACTCAAAATGGCACTGACATGAGATCTTCTTTAATTTGTTGGGGCATGAAACTTTCCTTTTTCACTCTATTTATTATAGTACGTCTTTGGGTGAGGTGTTGGGGTTGGGGTGAAATTTAAGAAGTAAAGGGAGCGCAGAAAGAGGGAGTTAGACTACATAAAATTAGGTAAGATAGAGGTGGCAAGGCAAGGGTAGAATAATAGTAAAGCAAAGGTAGGACTAAAATAGGGTAGTTGTTTAGTATAGGTAGGGTAGGGTAGGGTAAAGTAGGGTAGGGTAGGGTAGGGTAGGGTAGGGTAGGGTAGGGTAGGGTAGGGTAGGGTAGGGTAGGGTAGTAACAAATTCATGACGTTAGTATATTAGTACCATCAGTACCATATTGTACTAGCTTACGTCTACGAGTATCATCAGTACCATGTTGTATGTCAGAATCGTCAGTACCATATTGTACAAAATTACTGATTCTAATAGCATTCATTATTAAATATATTGTGTCTTAGTACCATCAGTACCATAGTTTTGTACCTTAGTATCATCAGCACCATAGTTATACTAACTTATTTTTACTTGGTACTATTCAGGACGATGTTGTATACTAGTACCATCATTACTATCCTGTACTAACTTTTCTTGCACCCCTGTTACCCAAATCTTCCAAAAAAATCCTCGTGGGACCGAATGCAATTTCCCCCAAGCCTCTAATGAATTTAAATCTGTACAAAAAATTTGCATTACAAAGTTATGTGAAAATGAAATTTAACGAGTTGATAAAAAACGCCTGAAGGCGTCTTTATTTGGCTGGGGATTTGAAATGCAAATTGGCGGGGACAAAGTTTGGCCGGTCTCCGAAGGCCCAACAAACGTTTTGGCAATGAGTTTAAAAGTGCTTCTTGACTTCATTCATGATGTTGAGGACAATATTTCTTTGGAGGAGGAATGGGAGGGGTAAATTTTATTTCATTAGAGGAGGAATGGGAGGGGTAAACTTCATTTTTTTGGGTTGGGGTGGATTTTTTTATTGAAAATAGATTGTTTAGCGTTAGGTTATATTTTTAAATTTAGCGATAGAGTTGTTGATCCTGGGGGGGGGGAGGTTTTTGTTTTAGGGGTAGGTTGTTAACTTTGGGGGTAGACTTTTATATGTAAAGAGTAGATTTTTAACTTTAGGTGTAGGTTTTTATATTTTAGGCGTAAACCTTAATTTTTTTGTGTGTTGGGGTGGATTTTTTATTGAAAGTAGATTGCTTAGCGTTAGGTTATATTTTTAAATTCAGGGGTAGATTTTTATATTTTAAATGTAGATTTTTAACTTTAGGGTAGGTTTTTATAGATTAAGGGTAAATTTTTATCTTTAGAGGTAGATTTTTATATTTTAAGGATAAGTTTTTAAATTCGGGGGTAGATTTTCAAATTGGGGGGTAGATTTTTATGTTTGACGTGTAAATTTTTTACTTTAAGGGTAGATTTTTTTCTTTTAGGGTTAAATTTTATTTTTTTTGGGTTGGGGTAGATTTTTTTATTTAAAGGAGATTGTTTCGCGTTAGGTTATATAGAGCAACTTTTTAACTTTAGGGGTAGATTTTTATATTTTAGAAGTAGATTTTTAACTTTAAGGGTAGATTTTTATGTTTAAGGGTAGGTTTTTAAATTCGGGGGTAGATCTTTAACTTTTAAGGTAGCTTCTGATATCAAGGGGCAGCTTATTGATTTTAAAAACAAATTTTTTAGTTTTGGGCGTGGATATTTAGCAGAAAATTCCTTTCGTGCCGTTCTAAGCCTAAAGTTTTAAAATCTAAAATTTCTTCTAAGCCCACCAAAATGGACCGTCTAGCAGCCTGCCATTTGATGCATGGCTTCCTCCATGTCCCAGGTCATCGTCGTAGGCATGCCACTTCGCCTTCGTGTCAGCACTTACGATCTGGTCACAGATCGTTGAGTTTGGCTGATCGAAGAGGGCTGATCAATCCATCTAGAACAACATCGAAAGGGCTGATCTCTCCATTGCCTTCTACTCAAAGTAAAAATATTGTTGTAGCTAAGGGTTAAGAGAATGAAGGGGGGAGGGGTTGGAGGGGTAAATTTTTTTGAAAAAAAAATTGGGTGGGGAGGGTAGAGTAGGGTAAAACTAAAAAAAAATTATGGTTGGGGAGGGTAGGGTAGAATAAGATAGGGTAGGGTAAAAATCTTTCAAAAAAATTAGCGGGCGTGGTAATTTTTAGGGGGTGGATGAAAAATATTGTAGTATCAAAATATACGAAAAAACCCGTAAAATCATAATTAAAGTTATAAAAATTCAAAAAAATTTTTTAAAAAATTCTATAAATTAAAAAAAAATTAAAAAACTTCCACTTAAACCTCTAGCTATACCATGAATAATATAATTTTTACAGGACATTCCATGAAGAAGCTACATGACATGACCATGGTCATGCAAGTCATGGACTATGACAGATTCAGTGCTGACGACCCAATTGGTGAAATCTTGTTGCCAATGAAAAATGTCAAATTCGAAAAGAGTCCCATCTACTGGAAGCATCTACAACGCCCGACGGTGCATAGGGTAGGGTTGAATTTTAAAATTTACTTATTTGAAGTAACAGGAAAGTTATCTAGGCTAGGCTTAGAGGTAGAACTAGAAAATCGAAATTAAAAAATTATATTTTGAAGTTCCCGACAAATTGGCATTGTGTTTCAAGCTTATAACTTTGTCATTTTTTGACTTAATCATTTTTCTTTGATGTACCAGTAGAAAACGTTAAAAATTAACTTATTTTTTTAAATTTGTAAGCGTAGGTCACCTAGAAAGTCGAAAAAAGTGCTTGTAACACAATGCCAAATTTGGCGGAAAACTCAAATATTTAAATTTTAAAACTCAAAAGCGCGAGCTAAAAGTTTTTATGGGTACTATTGGTGGTACAAAGAGTTTATATTAAAAATTTTTAGATAATTTTGAGTGGGATAGGTTATGCAAATTTCAAAAAAAAATTTTTTTATTAAAAAAATTTTTTCAAAATTTCAAATTTTTTTCAAAGATTCAAAAACTGCCATTTCTAACCACACTTCTTCAGGAACAAGCAGGAGAAGTGATGATAACCCTCTGTTACCTCCCCGAATCCAACAAGCTCAATGTATCCCTGGTCAAAGCTAAAGATCTGCCAAATCGCGACAAAATTGGCACATGTGATCCTTATGTCAAGCTATGGCTGGTTCAAAAAGGCTCAAAGTTGGAGAAACGAAAAACTACGGTTAAACCACAGACCTTGGCTCCATTATTCAATGAAATCTTCTCGTTTACCGTGCCGTGCAGAGAGAAGTTGGAGAAGGAAATCAATTTGGTCGTTTCGGTAAAGGTTTTCACATAGCCTTTTCAAAATTTTTTGTGCTATCTATCACACCTTACCTACTCTTTCAGGTCTATTCACAAAAAATTAGTTAAGAAAAAGAGAAATGGTAAACGTATTTTACAAAATAAACTGTGATAACTTACTTTGTTCTACCCTAGCCTAGCATATCCTATCCTATCTTACCTCTCCCTACTCTACTCTACTCTACTCTACCCTACTTTACCCTAACCTACCTTACTTGACTCCACTTTACCCTACTCAACTCTAAATAACGGTACTCTACATTACCTACTCTTCTCTACCTTACAGTACATTATTCTATTAAGTTGAACTAAAAATAGCGGGACCCCTTTTTGTTGAAAAATTAATGAAATGTCAGGCCATCTTTGGTTCAACCAAATACATTGCTTTCTTCAAAATTATACCCTAGTGCTACAATAGCTCTATATATTACGTTTTACATAACTCTCTTAGATTATACTACAAAATTTTATTTTTAAAAACTAAATCAAATAATTTTAGGTAATGGACTACGACCCGATCAGTTCAAACGACGAGATTGGGCATTGTGTTGTAGGGTTGTTGGGCCGAGATTCTGGGTCGAAGCAATGGAAAGAAGCCATGGAACATCCGGAAACGGCCGTTACCGCTTGGCACAAACTGTCTCCTCACTGGTGATTTTTACAAAACTAATATATGTTCAAATGGTACACTGGTACCATTAGTATGGATCTTTATACATTGGTACTGTTATCATGAATCTCTGGATATTGGTACCGGTAGAATAAATTTTACGACATTGGTACCAATACTATGGTTCTTTGGACATTGGTACCGTTATTATTGATCTTTGGAATAATGTTTTGTTGTGTTTTAACTACATGAACCTAAAACAATATGTATAGTCTTCCTTTCGTTGTAAATAGTATAACATTCGTTAACTTATAGTCATTACCTACCCTACCTTCTACTCTACCCTAAGTCATTATAATTACAAGTAATAACTTACTTTTAGTTTTTTTTCCTTAATCTACTTTATGTATAATATTATTGTACCTTTCTACCTTTCTATAGTCATTCAATTCCTTTTTTACAGTACTTTGATCTCTATTGTTACCTAAAAATCTCCACTGTTACCGATCTCGATATAGCATTAAGTCTGCAAAAAAATTTAGAAACAATAACTTTATTATGTCGGCACTTAATATGTTCTCTTGTTTAACATCTTTATCTTTACCATTGTGTATTTTCTTCTTACTATGATATGTAAATGTTACCCTACACCCAAACAAAAATGTTTTTACATTCAATTTTCACCAACAACTATAACATGTTGCATAAATTTATTGGCAGTGTATAATTAGGAATTTAAATATTGTGAAATCAAGAAAAATATTCAATAAAAGAGCAATTTTGTTATTACATCAGTATTTACAGACAATGTACAGTTAGGCAGTGATACTACGTATACTTTTCGGCCAATCATATTCAAATAGTTGAAAAACCAAAAATAATGGCCAAATATCAAAACATTAGGCTGTTCAAAAACTTCTGTGCCCCTTAATCCCAATAAATTGCTTTGAGACTGACGCAGAATTATTTGAACAACCTAATAAAATGTAATTCTATAAACTTTTGGACCAAAAAAACTAAAACTAGAGACTCTTCAATGTATCCTGATAATAAGTACTACATTACATACTGATTACAGTTAGTACGATTAGATTATAGTCCTCTTATGACCTATCTTATAGTAGCCAAAAGGCTCATTAATAACTTATCCTTTAATATATAGAAACCTTATGTTAAGCAAGATAAAGAACCAAGCTTATACTATCCCCAACACTCCTTTAGTTCCCCTAGTATTACAAAACCCTATAACAACAACAAGCACAAATACTTCCAATCAAGTATTAACCATGAGTCCTGAACCGTCGATGTCGATACTTTTGTTGAAGCCATTTCCGTTTCCTCGTCCAGCCATCGCACGGTCGAACGTTCTTTCCATCAATGGCATTACCCATCAAATCTAGTGGGTCTTCATTCAGCCTCAAATCAGCTATACATCCCACGAAATTGTGGGAATGTAAGCCGGCTGTCATTGTTGTGAGGTCCGGGAGGCCACCTAAATTGCATTTTTTGAGTGTTTTTGAAAAGTGTTATCTAAAGTATGGTACGTATATTAAATTTTAGGTAATGTAGAGCATTGTTGTAGAGTTTTGAGAAATTACAATAAGATATAACAATGTTATGGCATCAAACAGAAGGGAAAAGTCCTTGTTTTTCAAGCGGATTCGAACTTTTTTTGATTTTCGACATCTTTTAAATTAACATAACTTTGTTGTAAAGCAAGATAACAAATTCATATCGAGTAAATACATCCAAAATAAACTACTTTACAATATACTTCCTCTATTTAAGCTTAGCTATTAAAAATCCTCCAAAAAATTCCCTACCAACGTAAATATTCCCCTCAACATTCAACATGGCCAATATTCCACTGCTCCGTCCTTCGACCGGCTCTTGATTGTCCACAACCAACGTGCCGTTCCTGCCACGTCTCTCCACCCTAACATAATGCTCTTTGCCATCATTAACCGGCGTTTCAGATATGATTTGAGCAGCTCCACCTCCCAGTTCGTACGAGAACACCAAGAATCCATCGTTCAGTCCGATTGAGACGTAGTCTTCTCCAATTACACTTGTTTCTGTAGTCTGTCCCTGCCATAACATAACTCCATATTCGGCAGTGGTTTTGAATCTGAATTCCACGATCTCTCGTTTTTCCGAGGTCAGGTGAGGGAAGTCGTCGACGGAGAACATTATCCACGCGTTTCCTTCGAATTTGGCCGCGTATTCAATTGGTTTGACTGAAAGTGATTGTACTAAGGTGTTTACTATAGTATTTTACAAGTACCTTCAATCAGATTTTTAAAAAAATTTTAAAAATAAAAAAATTTTAAAAATCTTAGCAAAAAACCAGTCTATCCCAAAAAAATCCCGGCCCGAGACTTAAATTAACAAAGAAAGAGCCCGACCTGCCCCACTCTGATTAACTCCAAACTTTTTACATAGAAAGATCAAGTAAATATAAAATCTTCAGATAAGTACTAATCGCGTTTTCCAGTCAATCTCAAGAAACTCCAGATAAAACAATTAAGTTTTGAATTTCCCGTCAAATTGGCATTGTGCTTCAAGCTATAACTGTGTCCTTTTTTGACTTTTAATCATTTTTCTTTGATATACTAGTAGAAAAGCTTTAAATAGAATTACATTTTTAAAAGTTTAAGCGTAGCTTGTCTGGAAAGTCGAAAAAAGGTGGTTGAAACACAATGCCAAATGTTTCCAAATTGGCGGGAATTTCAAATATTTAAATTTTAAAAACACAAAAGTAAGAGCTAAAACTTGTTATGGGTACTATTGGTAATACAGAAAATTCATATAAAAATTTTGAGCTGATGCTGAGCAGAGCAGGTTGGGCACTTTGCTGGTAAATTTCAATTGCAATTTCAAAATTTTTTTAAATTTTAAAATTTTTAAGAGAGAAGAAAAAGCCTGACCCAAAAAAGACCAGACCATGCCTCAAAGTAAAGTCCAGCCCAAACCAGATCAAAAGCGTCGCTTGGCAAAGCCATTGGGCCCGGTCTTCGAGTCCACAGGTGTTGGCCCAGCCCCTTTCAATCTGTCAGCCCAGACCCTTTCAAACCTTCTTTGACCCAGTCCAAGCTGTCCCAGTGCCTAACCCATAACCCAACCCAGCCTAGTAATCCCCTTTTCTAGCCTACGTCCACCCAGAACCAACTTACATTGATCACAGTTCGGACCGACATAGTAATCCCTACATGCACAAGCTACATGAGTTTGATTCACAGGTTCACACACACCATGTTCTCCACAATCGGCATCTTCACACAGACCTAGTCGCACTTCATCCAATGATTCTGTTGGTCTTACAATCTCCGTAGTCTCTAGTGAATCTTCTTCATAAACAATTTCAGTAGTATGCAAGCTACTTTTAGCCTTTAAATCGTCATCAGAAGTCATCGTCGGAGTGATTTTAGTCTCTTTTAGTTCCTCAGAGTCTATATCAGATACATACGAATCATGTGGTGGTACATCAGTTGGCAGATCGACAACTTTCGTCACTAATGGTGATATTGTAGTAGCTGTGTCTGGTAATTCATCTGGGTCTTCGATCGTCAGCTCTTCTGAAGTCTCATCGACTTCCAGATCTCTTGCTTCTTCAGACTTTGCCGTACTGAGTGGTTGGGTTTGTATCGTACTGATTGGCTCTGTCTTTGTGTTATCGACCGGTCGATTATCTAACTCAACATTTGGTGGTTTGGTTGGTCGTATGATACGAGTCGTGTCCAACATACTATCTTTGGTTATTGTGTGTACTGTAGTTGATGGTAAGACCTTGTCTGTAGGTCTTAATGTAGCTACCGTATCATCTTCAGAAGCTACGTGAACATACTGCTCGGTAGGCTTCATGGTTACAGTACTTGTTGTGTACGGCCGTCGTGTTATTGTAGTAGTACTAGTAGTGGGATATGTAGTAGTACTAGTAAGATATACTGTAGTAGTGTCATACTCCAGTCCTTTAGTAATATAGTAGTCTACTGTAGTGTACGGTCGTACTGTCGTAGTAGGTTTTCGAGTACTAGTAACTCGGTACAAATTTTTTCTTCTAGTTGTTGCTACAGTAGTACTATAGTACCAGTAGCTTGTCGTAGTACTTGCTTCAGTAGTAGTGGTTAGTTCCGTAGTAGTAGTAGTTAATGTTGTAGTAGGCGGCAATGTTGAGGTAGTAGTAGGTCTTTGAGTGGTTGTAGTTGTAGTAGGTAATACGGTCATCCTTGGAGTAAAATGATCTTCAGAGCCAGTAAATTCAGTAATAGAAACGGATTCTAAACCATCGTCGGGCGGTACAGTAACATCCTTATTGCGGCTTTGTAGTGGGAGATGTTCTCCTGGCTGAAATGGCTTAAAATTAGATTTAAAATGGCTTTAAATTAAACTACGAACTAGTTCTGTTAGCAACAATATTGTACTGTACGGTACAGTACAATATGGGATACAGTCTGTACCTCTTGTTATAGTAATTCTTTTTCCGTCTATCAAGTACGATAAATTACCATATACAGTAGCCTGAATCCTACCCAACAATGTTATATTAGTTTGTTCAAATAATTTTGTGCTCCCCCTTAAAACAAATTTTCAGGGTTAGAAGGCACAGAATTATTTGAACAACCTATAATAATTTTTTTTCTTATTCAAGGGCACTAAATTATACTTTAAAGTAGCATGACTATGTTGTAAGTACAAGTATTACTGTGAAATTACAGCATATAATAGCCATTGGTAATGTATGCCATGGTGTAAAATATTTTTTTATTTAATTTGTTGTAAAGAAAGTTATTGCTGTTTTAAAACGTAGTGTCATAACTAAACTGAACGACTACAGATTTTGATAAAACTTACAGTAAGCAATGACAAATATAATAAACCTGAGTTGATAATTTTGTAAAATTCACTGTCTGTAAAGAAAGTTATTGCGGCTTAGAAATATCGTGCCATAAATTAAAATTTTTTTAAATTCTAAGCCGTCTTGCTAGTCCAAACCTTATAGCTCACATACTCCTACCACTAAAACCTACTGTAACTTACCGTATAATACTCCTGTTCACCTCTAGCCGGCGGTATATAAATCGGCCGAACCTCGCTCGGACTAGCCGTCACATACACTTCATCAACATTCAACATGCATTCCCCCAAGTCGCCGGACTCCACATCCCTGGTCGATTCCACCTCAATCAACTGTCGATTCACCCTTATCGTACTCAAACATCCTTCATAATTACCGTACTGTTCCAACTCCTCAGTAACCATCATTCCAGGCGCTAGTCCACCAATATACAAAGCAGTACCAGTCGAAAAGGCAGGTTCTTCCAGATGCTGCATAGTACGACGACCATCCACAATAAGTTCAATAGTTTTACCGGAATGCAGGAACGATACATCGTGAGTTTTGTTGGCGTTCACGCGACCGTAGCTTCGTAGTTGGTTGGTGCCATGTTTACCGTGGTAAAGACCGTACAGTGCTTCATCTTGGAGCACTAGAGCCATGTACTCGGCTTTCTTCGTGTTGTAGGTAGAAGCTACGTAAGCTAGAAGCTGAGGTTTTTGAGAATTCTTTGGGTTTATGTCCAAGGAGAGCTGAAAGATCATTGTTAACCCTAGTTTGGAGTATATTACTCTTGATTTTTTTGGCTAAAGAAGGTCTAAAACACCTCATTTTGAACATTCATTATACTAAACAAACCTTAAAAACATCAAAAAGCCTATAGCAACCAATTCACAGTATAAAAACAAAAGTCGCCCCCAAAAACAAAGAAAACCCACCCTAAAATGCCGTGAACTTTGAGGAGCAGGTACACTGATGAAGCTCGTTCTGCCATTAAACTTTGAACCCTTATTTGCTCTTCCCATCTCATCGTATGTTATGATAGGAATGTCCGTTTTCATATTCTCACAGTACTTGCCATACCTTCCGTATGGACAAACACAGTGGTTTTCGCCCCAATCTCCATCTACACATACTCCATGTTCACACATTTCTGAAAAAATTATTTTTAGGTAAAATACGGATGTTAGAATAAGAAATAGATGTTATAAACTGCAAGTTCGTCAAGGCTTTGGCATTTTTCAAGATTATTTAAAAGCGAAAGCAATGTAGATTTAAAACGTTTTTCAAAAACAATAGAAAATGTAATCCTTGGCAAAATGACTGTAACTTAGAAACTTTTGAAAAATGTTCAAAATTTTATATTGTAGTAGCTGAACAATCAAAGGATCTACAACGTCTCAAAAATTTAGAATCATATCTCTTCTTCAAAACAAGTTATAACGAAAAGCAGCCTGCCATCCATATTACTTTACTTATAAAACATATGTGCAGTAAACCTACTATAACATCAAGAATACAACAAATAAAAAAATCTTTATATTACAGTAGATCAAAAACTAAACAAGCTACAATCCCTCAAAAAATCAAAGCTCTACCTAACTTTAATCAAAAGTTATAATCAAAACCATCTTACCCTTGTTGGAGCACAAGCCCGTTCGAAACTGACAATATTCTCCGGTAAATTCGGCTTCACATTCGCATTTGAAGCCTTCAAACTCGTGGGCAGGTACACATTGAGCTGCATTTTGGCATGGACTGTCGAAACATTCATTTGTCGAGAGTTGGAGAACGACTTCTGGGGGAGAAGTCGCGCTTTCTCCAATATCAATGGATTTTCCGTTGATTACGAGCTTGGATATTGATCCTGAAACATTTTTTTATGAAATAAAGGTGATAGAACATAATAAAATTATTGGTTTTGTTCATTTTTTAGTGATAAAAAAGCTACGAGACGTATTTTACAGCTAATTTTAGCAAAAAAAAACACATTTTGTGTCAAGTTTGACTCTTTACTGTTGAATTTCGGGCCAAGCCTTTCATTGTTCTTTGTTTTTTTAGATTTGCCCTACCCTGCCCCGCCCTACAATTTTTTCTTACCAGCAAAGTTTTCCGGTTGTTTAAGTTGTTGATACTGCTTTGAATGTCCTGGAATACCGCCTAGATACACTGTGCCATCATTGATTTCCTTGATATAGGGCAGCGGAGCGTTTCTGGCATGGCCACTGGTTTGGTGATTCACGTTTAGTGAGACTGAAATTTTAAAAAATTTTAATACTTTCAAAAAAATATGTTAAAAATATGTTATGTTGTTCAAATAATTCTGTGCCCCTCTCAAAGCATGTGTTCGGGGTTAGGGGCGCATTATTATTTGAACAAAATTATTGAAAAAAAAATTTTAAGTCAACCTATACTTTTAAATTTGTTTTCTTATTTGATATAAACGTATTTTACCTCTGCTCTCATCGTTCCGAATCCGAATCTTGCTCCATTCGCCATTTTTAATTGAAACCGGGCTTTGTACTCGACTAACACCGTTGCCCACATCAAAAGTGTAGACGACATGACCTCGTTTCAAAGCAATATCATGAAAGAGTTGATGGTCTTGGGCAGGGGCGTGTCTTTCAGCATGATAAACAACTCCATTCTCTTTGTTTGGCCGCAATGATATCTCGAGATCGAGTCTCTGCCATTGTTCGTGAGTTAATGGAGTGATTTCTATGATTCTTGAGCCGTCAAAGGTTGGGATGTAGTCTGGAAAAGATTTTTTAATTTTAGGGGTGGGTATTTTGGGGCTACATTTATTCCCGGCCTTCAGGCTCGCACGATCCGGCTTGGTTCGACTCTATTCGTTTAATTTTGGCTCGGCCCCTCCCGGCCGAGGCAGGGCATAGTAGGCTGCTCTTTTATTAGGTTGTTCACTTAATTCTGCGCCCTTCTCAAAGTTAACTTGTTGGGTGCGGGGGCGCAGAATTATGTGAACAACTAGGGGTGCGGGGCGCAGAATTATATGAACAACCTAATATTAGGTGCCGACATAAAGAACCCGCCATACTTTTCCTGTAATTTCCTGTAAAAAATGGCGGGTTTTTTATGTCGGCACCTAGTAGACCTACTTTTAAAGGGTGGGACATTAAAAAAATTTTTTATTTTTTTATAAAAAGTCTTGTCGTGAATTCACAATGATTTTGATGCCTAAAAACGACAAGACTTTTGCGGAAATCTAATACCTAACTATCTATCTTATACTAGGCCACCCTAGCCTAGTATAAGATAGACCCTAAGGCTTGTCAATAAAATGAAAAATAAATTCTGAAACTTCATACCCCCAACACTCAACTCAGCAATAGCAACATGGTTTTGTCCGTCTACAGTGTCTACTATGCATCGATATGTTCCAGCATCTTGTTTTTTCACTTTTGGTATTACCAAAGCCGTATCTCCGATTCTGAATTGTGATGGCATTGCTCCATCCAACTGAAATTTGATTTTTTTTAATCTCGGTAAGGTTTTCGGTCAGATAATATATTACACAGCAATTTTGAAGGCATATAACTACAAAATTTCGTTTTTTCTGCCCGGACCGGTTCACAAAAATATTTTTTTTGATTTACTATGGCCCTGAAAGTTTTTACCTTGCCCTAATGCACCCTAACTTACGTTAATTTACCCTACCCTACCCTACCCTATCTTACCTAGTTTATCTTAAAGTGTTCTACCCTATGTTATCCCACCTCTCTTAACTTTCTTTGTCTTTAAACTACCCTACCCTACTGATACCTACCTTTTCCCAGTAAATCCGGCTGTCAATAGAGCTGACACCATAAGCTCTACAAGGCAAGAAAGCCGTTTCTCCCACAATAACTTGAGTACTTTCTGATGGTGATAAGGAGTACAACGTTGTATACGGTGTAGTATACGGTATCTTTGAATATGACGTACTAGCCAGTACTTCTGGCCTCTGTGTAGTATATAACTCCTGTGAGTATGGTGTGGTATGTGGCATGTTTTGAGGTGGCAGTGTGGTGGTTACATCAATGATATGTTCAACATACGATGTTGTGGTAAACTCATCATAGTCTTCTCTTTCTGGTGGTTTTACCCACTTCACGTCTTCAGCTAAAAGAGGTAGGGTTAGCTGGTTAGAGTTATGAATTTTTAATAAGTTTAGAGGAAAATATGGTATTATAGTCGTTATAATATGGATAGAAAAGGTAAATATATAGAGCATTCTATATGAAATAGTGGCTGTTTTAGCAAATTTTCGTTTTAAAATTTTAATTTTTTTTGTTTTTGAAATTGAAAAACTTCAAAAAAAGAATTTTTATACCTAAACTACTTTTATTGCTAACGAAAGCTAACTACTAAAGTACCCAACCTACCCCACTCACAATCAGCTAAAAATGTTTATATGAAATCTCTGTACTATCAATAGTACCCACGAAAAATTTTAACTTGCGCTTTTGTGTTTTAAAATTAAAATATTTGAAATTTCCGCCAATTTGGCAAAGTTGGCATTGTGTTTCAAGCTCTTTTTTCGACTTTCCAGACAAGCTACGCTTACAAATTTAAAAATGTAGGTTTACTTAAAGGTATTCTACTAGTGTATTAAAGAAAAATTATTAAAAGGCAAAAACCTGACAAAGTTACAAGCTTGAAACACAATGCCAAGTTGGCGGAAAATTCAAAATGGCGTTTTTTAATCTCGATGTTCTCCAGATTTCCTGGAAAGCGCGATTTAGTACTTATCTGAAGAGCTTATATTTACATGATCTTTCTATATAAAAAGTTTGAGGTCAATCGGAGCGGAGCAGGTTGGGCACTTTCCTTGCTTGATCTATTACAAAAGCTTTTTGGATTTTTTGAAATTTCAAAAAGTTTTACATTAAATTTTCCAAGTTCAAGATACAGCAATCAATCAAAAAAGTCATATAACACACGGAAATAGTTTTAATTTCTCTTGTTATTCCTTTCAAAAGAAGCATAGAACATGTAGATGCGTCAGACCACTTCAATATTCAACATGACTTACCTTGGTTGACTTACCTTTAATAAACAATGTGGAGTCTTTGTATTTTACATAGCTTAAAAATATTTTTTCATCACTTTTATACTTTTCGGTACTAGTACTATTATATACAAAAGTAAACTAAAAAAAATTATTTATCTTTTGATCCAGTGCTCTGCAGTACTATTTAGTACCAAACAATACTATAATATAACATTTTTTTGCTTTAGTATTATCTAGTACTATTTAGTAGCAAAAAAGATAGTATTCAACTTTTTTTCAACTTTGGGTATTATATAGTACTATTTAGTACCAAAAGTACTGTTTAGTACTAGAAAAAAATTGTTTTTAGATTTTCACAATATTCAGTGCTATTCAGTACCAAAAAAAATTTCATAGCTTTTCAAATATTAGTATCACGTAGTACTATATAATGCAAAAAAAATTTTTATTAATTTTGTATTTCAGTGCTATACAGTACTACAAAAACCAAAAAAAACTTCATTTTTTAAAATTTAGTGTTTCGCGGTACCAGGGCCGGGCGCGAGGGGGGGGGGACGGGGGGGGGGTACCCTGAAAAAAAAATTGAACGTGGTCCCCCCTGTGGATTTTCGGGAAAAAATTTTGCAAAAAATCGGCACAGGTAACTGTAGTGAGCTACCTATGCCGCTTTTTTGAACCCCTGCCCCCAGACCAAAAGTCCCCGCTCGGCCTTGCGCGGTACTATTTAGCATCAAAACCCAAAAAATAAAATTTTTTTGATTTATGCTGTACTATTTAGTACCAAAAATTAAAAAAACTTCACTATTTCTTTAATTCAGTACTAAACAATAACATTTAGTGCAATACTACGTAGTACCACAAAAATTAAATTTTAAAAACTATTTGTTACTATAAAGTACTATTTAACACCAAATTCCTTTTCCCTTATTATTTCATCATCACATTAACATTGACACCCAAATCCAATATAACATAATGAAAAGCTTCACAAATTTGTTTATTTATTGATAACAAACCAAAAATGATAAAATATGAGTTGTGAACATAAAAAAAGTAAAATACGAAAACAGAGAACAATCACGTATATAATGGTTTACGATAATGTAAAAGAGAGAAAGTAAAAATGGCACGGCAGTTTTCCAAAATCCACTTTATTTCGTCGAGGACATCACAATTTGGGGGCGGATACAACAACACAATGGGACAGAAGAAGAAAATTGTTATATGGTTATGTTATCACAGCACAACTGAGCAATTTTCATTTGTATTTTAGCAGAAAAAAGTTTCATATGCTCTTAAATTTTAGGGTTTTGTTTCTTAAGGGGTAGCTATGTTACGGTAGGTTGGTAGAACAAACAGGGGTTGGGGTAGAGAGAGGGGAAGAGTGCGGACACTCGAACGTAGGGGGGGGGGAGGCTTTGAGAAAGGAGCAGGGAACGATGGGATAGAGGGGGTAAAGGGTAGGATACAAAGGTACAGTAGGAGCAGTTAAAGACAATAGCAGAGTACTGTCACTGAATCGCTACTAGGTACACAATAGAACCACTTTAGTAAGCTATGCTAATACTACAATAGTTATCGTAGAACTAAGTTAGTACTAAGATTACTGTAGGCAGCTTGGTACTACTTAGCACTTAACTTACAGCAGCTTCCTTAAAAATACTGTAACGCTAGTACTACAGTATTATGCTTCATACTAGTACTACTAAATTCATACTAAGACTACTGTAGCTGTATGATGCCTAGTACCATATAGATACAGTATTAATAAAAATAGTTGACATCATACAGCTACAGTAGTACTAGTATGTAACACCAGAGTTAAAGTAATTGAAAAAACCTCCTATATTAACATAGCTATCTTAAGGGTAAAGTAAAAAATTAAGTCATATGAAACGTTATGGCAGTGGGATGGTCTTTCTACTACAACAACCTTTAAGCTGTCTTACAATGTAATTTCAAGCTACTTCTACATAGAAATATACTGTGTTATTGTAGCTACTTTAACATATCAGTACAGCTACGTTGTAGTAGTTACTCAACATAGATATATAACCATGTTATAGTAGTATATCAACACTATTAGAGCCAGTATAAAGTGTTGTTACAGTAGAAAAACGTCTAGATTTACACTAAGAGGAAAAATATATTATACTAGAGGAAAAGGGTTACATATTATAGTAAAAAACTCAATATTATACTAGAAAAGAGCTTATGAAATGATAAAAATATCACATTACTACAATTTTAAGAGAAAGTACTACATTTTGAAAGAGTATCAGAGCTAGTTCTAAGCTAAAAATGACCATTCGCAGCCATGAAATAGCTAAAGAAGAGTGTAATACTGTCTTAAAAACACTACAATAAGGTAGAAGAAGCGCCTAACCGGGAGCAACAAGACTTAAATCAACCTGATACTATAGTCAGTATCAATGTAAATCTATTTTTACTGTAGTAGAGAAAATTCGAGCTTCGTATGACAAAGCTAAATTGACCTTCGGCCAAATTTGCCATCAGCCAAAAAAGTCAACTATCGACCAAATTTAAATCGACGCAAACCACCGGCCGAACAACGAATGTGGCATGGCTTCATCGTGCTGCCGATGAGCCGCGAAGCCGGCTTCCGGCTCCGAATGCCTGCGGCGATGGCGTCGCTTGGCCAAGAGACGGCGACGTTGTTGCCGGCTCAGCCGTTTTCGCTTACGTTTCGCTGGCTCCACACTCAACAAGGCGCTGGTGTCCAAGAATCCGCCCGTAATGTAGGCGCGACATTGGTACTTGCCGGCGTCGTCGGCGGTTACGGACGTGAAGAGAAGTCGGTTTCCGGTTACCTGGAAAGGTTTTATTAAAATTGAGTTTTGGTTTTCAAATTGATAAGTTGTTCAAAAAATCCTGTGCCCCAGCTCAAAAAAAATTTTTGGAAAGGAGCTCAGAATTATTTGGACAACCAATATTTGGTTGTTCAAATAATTATGTGCCCCATCTCAAAGCAAATGTTCGACGTTAGAGAGCTCAGAATTATTTGAACACCTTAATATGAGTTTTGTGACCACTTCAAACCAAAAACAACGTCAAAATTCAAGTGCGAAATCGAAAAAGAAGACTTGTCGTCAAATTGCATTGGCTTAAACGTCTAAAACCGAAAAGACTTTTTTACATGCCAAGTCGTGCTTGAAAACCTGTAAAACATTACTACAACTACACGTTAAATGAAAAAAATCTTGTCGCCAGTTTGCATTGGCTTTGCACGTTCAAAAACGACAAAACTTTTTTAAACACTTTTTTATTGATAAAAAGTGCCAAACTTTGCACAAAACACTATTATAATTAACTTTACTACAATATAAAATTTAAAAAATTAAACCCATCACAAGAACCACCATTAAATTCGAATAAACCTTCATTATAACAACCATAATAACACTCGAAAACCTTTCACTGCAACCACCACCTCAATAGATATATAAAGAGCGCCCAAATTTAAAGCTTCCACCACCAGCTTCAGCTCCCGGTCTAGTTACTGCTCCAGCTCAGCCTTTTTTATATTTTAGCTCCGTCTATCCGGAGCCAAATGTGTACTGGCGCCAGACCCGACTCAGCAGCTCTAGAGAACCATGACTATAAGATAGCCACTGTAACTGATAAGTTGTTCAAGTAATTTTGTGCCCTTAATCCCAAAAATTTGCTTTGAGAAGGAACACAGAATTATTTAAACAACCTAAAGCCACAGATTTCTTTTGAACAACTTGATACCATAACTTTCATTCTAAACCCTTCACTATCACAACAACCACCATATTTACAAAACCACCACTACACTACACCAACTGCACGCCTAACACCTATATCTTACTTTCTTTTCGCGCGCGAGATCGTCACACTCTGTTATCTGGAATTTAAGCATGCTTTTATAACCTGTCAGCACGTTTTGCTATAGTAATATACAATAAAACTAGGTTAAAAGTAAAGTTTTTAGCAGAAACCCTTCAAGCCCTACCTGCGCTCCAGATGGTAGCTCATCAGCATCAACCTTGCTGAACTCAATCTTTGCTGTTGGGTCACCAGTGACAACACAGTCCAACCAAACACGATCACCTTCTCTGACGGATTCGGATGAAACATTCAGTACTACTTGGATCGTTGTGTCTGGTACTAAAATTTTTTTTTTTAAATACGAAGTTTAAAGTGTATTTTTTAATTTTTCTGTTTTTCTTTGCTTTAAAATTCGTGTTTAGCTACGAATCCACATTTATATTATAGTAGCTTACCAAAGATCTTGGCATTGATGTATCCTTCCACAGTGCTTTGTCCGTATTGTACAGTACAAGTGTACAAGCCGGCGGTTTCTTCAGTGAACAATGGAATACTAAAATGGAGTTTATAAGTCAAAAACTATAACATATACCATCGACAGCATGATAAGATACTAGACCTACAGTACAATAAGATACTTGCTCTCCAATCCTATTTAACCAAAGTCAAAATATGGCACCTAAAACCTCAAAAACAGTACTAAAACAAACATACGTCAACTTGTTTCCATTTTGTTCGGCTTCCTTTGGCAATTCACCAGAATGCTTGTACCATGTTACAGTAGCTCCAGGTACGGTGAAGACTGGACAAATCAAAACGGCTTCTGATTCCTCTTCGAACTTAGCTTCTTCTGGGTCTAAAAGTTTAAAAGTTAGAGAGATACATTCATATTTGGAAGAGATAGGGATAGAAGAAGATAGATAGGTATAGGAAGTGGATAGTAGAAGACAAGTAAATAGGTAAAGAAGGTAAAGGACGTAAAAATTTAAAGTAAATTTAGAGAAAAAGACCTATTTTATCAAAAAGATCGTAAATATCAACAAGAAGTATTAGATCAGCGTCTATAATTTAAGGAAACTTCTGTCTTCATCCACAAAAACCTTGATATTGACCTAGAAATCCCTATAAACCTTAACAAAAACCATTCCCAACCGCTTAACAAGGCATCCCCTTCAAACTATCAACCCAATATCATAAAAGACAATCTCCCAAGTTATTATCTCCCAAGATATTATGTTACGAACTTGTAGAAGCGTCGTATCCAACAGAAACAGCAGCTTGAGCACTGCCCAATGTGTCACCATCATCGTTGTCGACTTCACATCTGTAGATACCATAGTCATTGGTTGGATCGGCCGATTTGATTGTCAATTGAGCTTCTTCACCCAACTGTTTAACCACAGAACCACCACGAGCTAACGACCAACGATACTTGAGTTCGGAGTCGTGACCTCCTAAACAGACAAAAGGTAGGCTTTTGGCTTGAACTTAAGCCCAAAATGAAATTTTTTGATAGTCTAACTAGGCTCCATGTCTTTCTAAACTGTTTCTTAGATACTAAATTACTTTTCTTCAGTTAAAATTGTTAACTAAACCAAAAACAACAAAAAATTCAACAAAAAAGACCAAACCAAGTACAACATCAACTAATAATGAAGAAACCAAACCGCTTTAGATTTCATTCAAAATTTGCGCAAAGATAGCCAAGAATACTATTACTAACCATGTAAAAAAACTTCAAGTTTCATTAAAAATCCAAAAAAAAATATTTAAAAAATCAAATTTTTTAGGTAAAACTTGAAGTTTTAAATTTTTTTCGTATTTTAAAATCAAAAAATTGAATTTACAACATTTCATGCGTACTAAATAGGTCCTTTGCTACCTCTATACCAAATATGATCAAAACCTGAAGCGAAGCAAGTGAGCTATCGGCTTTACAATACAAACACCTCCACCAAAAAACGACAAAAAACTAGAAAACCAAGGCAAATCATATTGTTATCAAACTCAAACACGTTCAAAATGGCCTTAGAATCCATCTATCACATCTTTGCTATAATATAAATGATATTTAGTCTTCAACGCCAATCCAATTCTGATGAAAACTTTAAAACAGAAGCCGAACACCATGTTCACCATGACCAAACTCAAGAAGAATCAAAACCAAATGCCAGAAAATGAAAATCAATAAAAACAAAGTTAAAAAAAAAGGAAAACAAACAAAATTAAAACCAAACAAAATCAAAAACGTAACCGTAGTAGCTGGTGGATCGTACCACAAGATACGATGGCTTTGACGTGACTCGTTGTCCATCCTCAAAATCGACCTGAATAAAGTAAACACCGGCATGTTCGGATTGAACATTGATTATGTGCAACATACGACGATCACACCACACAATATCTTGCAAATGCTGTGTATTCTCACCCTGATACCATGTGAATGAGGTTGGGCGTCGACGTGCTAAATGTTGTTCATGGATTTGTTAGTGCAAACAAAAGTGAAAACCAATAAAATTATCAAAATATAGGTATGTTATGTTAGATTAACTAAAAGATTTTAAAAAATTAAATTTTTTATTATTTTGTTACCTAATTTTTTCGTTTTTTTGCTTCAAAACTATTTTGTTACCTAAAACAATTTTCTGGTCTGAAAATACTATCTAAAGCTTTGCCTTTTAGCTTTCAAATTGTTTTATTACCTAAATTAATAGTATATACCAAAAACAGCTTTTATTTGTTATCTAAAACAATATTTTTCCTTTCCAAACCAATTTTTTTCTTTCTAAACTATTTTTCTCAATATTACCCTTCATTTTTAGGCAAATATAATCCAAAAATCAAAACCAACCGTGAACCAGACAGTCCAAAACGATCGAGTCTCCCTTGTTGACGACACGAACAGATGGAGCTGAGATCTCGACATGAGCAACATCAGCTGGAGTGCGATTGTCGGCGTAAACATGAACGGTGGAGCTGGCAATCAGCTCCTCCTTTCTGTAAGCTCTACATTCATATTCTCCAGCATCCGACTCTCTGAATTGTTCGAAATGCAACAATCCAGGTTCGTTGTGAGCTTCGACACCATCAGGAAGACCTCCATCCAATCTTGTCCATTCGATTCTATCGACCAACGAAGCGCCAGTGGCTGTGCACAGGATCTGAGCTGGTTGATTGGTTGGGAAGAACTGGTTGGATCCGCCAATGATGGCTACTGTAGTTCGAGCAGTAGCTTCCACGACCTCGACGTAGATGTCTTTGGTCACGGTGCTGAATTGGTTGGATCCCTTGCAAGTGTAGCGACCAGCATTGCCTAATCCGATGGCTGGATGACGGATGAACTGTTCAGAGATTGTGATTGGAACATAGTCGTCTGGAAGATCGCCACGTTCCGGTCCGGGGTCGCTAAAACGATATTGTAGTAGGTTGTTTTTATTCTTTTTTTGAATTTTAGGTATTCAAAAAGGGCAGAATGGAGAATAACTATTCGGATTTTGAAAAAAGTGTAAAACGAAGGTAAAAACTATGAATATTGTGGAAATTCGCTCCGTTTCAACCCACAGCTACTAAAATTATATTTTAGTAGGTTACTTTTTTTTGAATTTTAGGTAGTTAAAGAAAAACAATGTAGGTAAACGTGATTAAACCTGTGGTAACCCTTTTTTTTGAAATTTGCTTTTTGGAAACACTTACTGAAGCCATTCGACATCTGGATCAGGTTCACCATGAGCAGTACATCTGATTTCCAATGGTTCTCCAACGGTAAGAACGATTCTTGGTCCCAGAGGAGTACCAGTTTCAGGTTTGTCAATGATAATCTTGATTGATGGGTTAATATTGGCAGTTCCTTTATCAGAAGCTTCACCGTGCTCGTTCGACGCCGTACAAGTGTAGTCACCATCGTGGAGCGACTTCTTGGCCTTGCTGATCTCCAGAATTCCTTCACCCAGATCAACAACGCCTTCTGGCAATGAGGAACCGTCAGGACCCACCCACTTGATGGTTGGGTGAGGTGTGCCAGTCACAATACACTTGAATTGGTGGGTTTCTCCTGGTTCGCCGTTCCATACTTTAGGTTCGACACGTGCCGTAGGTGGAATAACCTCTTCATCGTCCACAATCACTAGTTTAACTGGTTCAGCTTGTCCAGTACCAAACTCGTTGGTAGCTTGACAATAGTATTCACCAGCATTAGAGTCATCAGCAGAGTTGATGATAACATCGTCACCGTTCTGTGAAACATCACCTTCCAATGGACCGTTGGCCGAGCCGTAGCCCCAGTGAACTTCAGCTGGTACGTCGCTGTTTGGATCACAGTGGAAGCGGGCTGGATCTCCACGCTTCACGGTAATTACTGGTGGTGTAGCGACCGGTCGTGGTGGTCTACCTTGTGCAGAAACTTGAGGTTGTTCAGCACGTTGAACTTGGATGTTGGCTGGTTCGGAGACGGCTGGAGTACGGTCGACTGGGTCGTAAGCGGTACATTCGTAGTCGGTAGCATGTTCTTGACCAACCCTGTCAATGTACAAGTTGCCACGACCATCGTCACGAGCTCCGGCAGGTAGAGGACGACCACCCTTGACGTTCCAGCGAAGCAGAGCGTTTGGTACACCATCGACCCAACAACGGATTTTGGCTGGATTGCCTTCTGGAACGGTCTGTTCACGAGGATCGACCTGAGGATTCAGAGGCTGTTTGACGTCCAAACGAGCGACAGGCGAGTCGATTGGTTGACCGTTCTCTGGGTTGAACACTGAGCAGACATAGCCTCCGGCATGGAAGTCATCGACCGATGGGAATTCAAGAACTCCATCCTTGTCTACGGCGCCTTCTGGCAATGCTCCACCACCGTGCACGCTCCATTTCACTTGAGCATCCGGCTTTCCAGGTACCCAACAACGGAAACGAGCTGGACTGCCTTTAGGCACTTGTTGGTGAAGTGGATCAACTTGTGGTGCTACTGGAGCATCCGGAGCCTTGATCACAAGTTGGACTGGGTTCGCATCGACTGGTGGTCGGTTTGGAGCGCTGGGATCCGACGCCGAACAGATGTAACGTTGAGCGTGATGCTGTTGGGCGTGTGGGATATTGAGGATGCCGTCACGTTGTTCAACGTCTTGTGGTAGAGATGAACCTTGTTCTGGACGCCATGTGATCTTGGCGTCTGGATGGCCTGGAACCCAGCAACGGAAACGGGCTGGGTCGTTGACGCTGACGGTCTGGACTGGTGGATCAGCGATTGGACGCATGTCAGCTGAAAATATTGATCTAGGCTATGTTGATATGCAAAGCATAGTAAAAACATTGCAATTACTAGTCAAAAAATGGAAAATCTTTCTTGAACTCTTACAAAAACCATGACAATTCCTTAAACTCACGTTTGTTCACATCCAAGTGACCAGGGTTCGAAACACCTTGACCGTACTGATTAGCCACGGTACAAATGTAGTTACCAACATGATGTTGTTCAGCTTGTGGAATGAAGATCTGGTTTCCACGGCGATGAACACCAGGCGGCAAAGCTCCATTAATCTCGTTGAAATGCCACACAACTTCACAGTCAGCAAAGCCAGGAACCAGACAGGTAAAGGTAGCCGACTGATGTTGGTTGACAGTTTGTTGTGGTGGAGTTACGACCGGTTGAGGAACAGGGCCAGTCGATGGAGAAGCTGGAAGTTGAGGTGGACGACTGATTTGAAGTGTGGCATCGTCGCTGGCTTGCGTTCCATCGATCTTCGACGTTCCAATACAACGATATTGACCTTGGTCGGAGTGGCGGACCTGGTCGATGACGATCTGGTTCGTGTTATGAACCCTGACGTGAGGTGGAAGCTCACCCTCGCCAACCTTGATCCAGCTGACATCAACATTCTCGGGCTTGTGGCCGACAACTTGGCAGGTCCATTTGGCACGCTGACCTTCGTGGATTACCAAGTGTTTTGGAGCTAGGATTTCAACTCGGAGGGGTACTGAAATAGAAGGTGTTAGAGGTTGAATAAGGGGGTTTTAGCTACGGTAAATAATCTAATGATAAAAATGTTTTCACCAGTCATCGAAATTAATAGCTAGGCAACAAAAATGCAAAAATATTAACAGCGAAAACAAAAAAAAATGAAAAAAGTAAAAAAATTGTAGTAATAGTACCTTACGTGACACAGTACATTAGCCAAAAAGGCAATTACATAACCAACAAAACTTTTTACGTTTGTGCATACAGTACTATACAATTCATAACTCATGCTATGATCTATACAATACTATACAAGCCATAACTTTCGCCATGGACAATATAGTCATAACTTTCACCACTGTTCACTAATAAGTCACAACTTACACCAAGTACGATATATCGACTTTACATTGTCGTAACTTACGTCACAAAGAAGATATCGACCAATAAACTTACACCGAACAAAAACTACATTGATACCATCACTTACGTTAACAAGTTGTGCTGTAAAACTAAATACATGTATAAAAGAACTAAAAGTAAGCTGAACAAAAAACGTATAAATGTTTACTGTGCTAAAAACACGAAAAACATACTTTCACAATAATGAAAAAATGAAAAAAAAAAACTACAGTATGACAGTGTTTTGACGTGGTATTGAGAAGTGTGTAAGTTTAAGTTTTCCGAATTTCAAAGTCAGGACTAAAAAATTTTTTTTAAATTTGTAGTACAACACCCACCAATACGACGCGAAACAACGATTGTGACATGAAAAAAACGAAAATTCTAATATTAAAATTGACTGGACATGATATTGATTAAGTTTAGAAAAGGCAGTATTATAGTGCGTTGTAGACCGTATGACACAAAAATTGAAAAGTGTTTGGGTATGGCTCTTATCATCTTCTGGGCGGGTAATAAAGCTTGATTTTTTGAGTTTAACTAGTTAAAAATGACACTCTCAATCTATGTTTATCATCAAAAAATGGCATTTTGAATCCATCTTTATTCATTTGTTCAAATAATTCAGTGCCCCCTTTCAAAGCGAACTTCGGGGATAAGGAGCACATAATTAATGGAACATCCAATATTATGTTCAGAATTATTTTTTTTCAATATTAATTTGTTCAAATAATTCTGCGCCACTCCACAAGCAAATTTTCAGGCTTATGTAGCTCAGAATTATTTGAACAACCAAATATGTTAAACTTACCTTTTCTCATTGCCATACCTCAAATCTTTTCGTTACAAAGACACCATCGAAACATAAAATACGCTGAAAACTTAAAGCGAACGCAAAACGAAAAAAAAACTAAAATATTAATGATAAGCCGAGAGTATTAATGGCGGAAAAAGCGGCCGCGCACGCGGTAACGACGGCGTCGGCCCTCGCGCCACGACGCCGCATGATGACGGTTACTATTCCAGCTATGCTGACCTGCTGGATTGTCCACGAAGTGTACACGGTCCGGCTCGACACGTCCGATCGGCTCGCATTCGCGACCACCGCTTTGTTGGGAACGGGTGTAGCCTGGGGCGCATCTGGAAGGGTTTGATGAGGTTTGGTTTGAAAATTTGGGGTGTTGGGCGGAGCTGGGGAAGGAGGATGGTTAAAAATTATTTTTTGCCATTTCTTTTGAGACAACCTAACATATATTTTTTTAATTTTTCAAAATGAAAAAAAAATTTTTTTTTAAAAAATTGAACTTGGTCCCCCTGTGAATTTATTCCGTAAACTTTTTAAAAATTACAAATTTTTTTTTCCCAAAAATTACCCTGCCCCCTCTCCTAGCACAGATTATGACCAAAATTTAGATTTTTCATCTTTTACTTTCTTATAATTTTCAATTTAAAAAAAATTTTTTGGGGCTCATCCAGAACAGCCCCCATTCCGTTTCACACACCCAACCGCCAGTTCGCACCCCTAGTGAAACCCCCAATCTCCAACTCCAGGTCGATCCCACTTGGCCGAACCATATCGGTAATGTCCGAAGTTGGGGATTGAGGGTCGCGCGAGAGAGTGCTGGTCTGCTGACTGGCCAGGGCGGTGAACGGAGGAGCAGAATGAAGAATTTGCAAAATCTGCTGCCTTTTATACGCATTTTCATTGATTTCGTAAAGGTCAATTTAAAAAATGAATAATTTTTGACTTTTTACGTGCCGGTTGTGAATTTCATTTTCTGGGGGTGTGAAATACAATGGTGGGGGTGCGATCTACAGTGGGTGGGGGTGCGATCTACAGTGGGTGGGGGTGCGATCTACATTGGGTGGGGGTGCGATCTACAGTGGGTGGGGGTGCGATCTACAGTGGGTGGGGGTGCGATCTACAGTGGGTGGGGGTGCGATCTACAAAGGGGGGGGTGCGATCTACAGTGGGTGGGGGTGCGATCTACAGTGGGTGGGGGTGCAATCTACATTGGGTGGGGGTGCGATCTACAGTGGGTGGGGGTGCAGTGGGGGTTAAAAATTTTCTGCAAATTGAAATTTATGTGAGAAATCGCAAGAGAAAAAAAAAGAAATATTCAATTTGCTTTTTGAAAATGAGTTTTTGGGGGTTTGTTCTGGATAAGATCGGTGGGTGCTTGAAATGGTATGGGTAGGGGGGCTATTCTGGATGAGCGCCAATTTTTTTATTAAATTGTTCAAAAAGTTTTGAGCTAACTTGGTAGCTTGAAATTTCAAAAATTGTAAAAAAGATTTAAAACTTTTTATTTGAAAGCTAGTTACTTTTATAATATTTTTTTTTGTAAACTTACTCATCACAAAGACGTCCAGCATAACCAGCTGGGCAGTTTCTGCATTGCACTTGGCCTCCGTTATCCAAGAAGCAGTCGGCTGCTCCTCTGAAAGTTAAAAAGTCATTTTAAAATCAAACAAAAAATTCAAAATAATAGTATTTGAATACTTTTTGAAAAACTTTTTACATTTTCAAAACCTTTTTTTACATTAATATAGCCTCAAACTCACGGGCAAGGACAAGGAGTACAATCGTAAGGACTACCACGAGTAGCGTCACCATAGAATCCCTTCTTACAGGCCTCACAATGAAAGCCTTCTGTGTTATGTTCACATAACAAACATCTTCCGAATGAGTCACAGCCTCTTGGTGAGTGGTTGTGACATTGGCATGGCGGCTTGACCTGTTCTGGCTGACAATCATGTGGAGTACCACGACGAGCATCACCCACAAAGCCTGGAGCACATCGTTCACAGTGATCGCCTTCAGTGTTATGTTGACAGTTCAAACAAGTACCGTACTGGCTGTCACATTGGCTCGCGTGTCCATTACAGTCACATTTCTGGCACAGTCCAAGATATGGTCCACCTTGTACCCGGGAGTAGCCTGGAGCACAGTCCTCACACGACGGGCCAACGTAGCCGATTGGACATTGACATTGTTCTACCTCAACAGCATTGGCACCGGATCCATATGGCTCGGCGTAGTCTAGTTTGACACTGTAAAGCTCGGAGTTGGTGGTATCTTGAACACAAGTCGACTTGACCAACACATCATCAACATCAGCCAAAGCCATGAGCAGGTCTTCACGTGAAGCTGGTTGTCCATCAGCACGAGTAAAGGACTGTTCCGTGATTGGAATCGATACACGATGTTCCTGTTCGGCAGTCTGTGGCTGGCGGCTTTGATGGTGAAGGACGACATTGTTACCACGGATGATAACAGCAGCATCTGGAGTTGGTTCACCACTTCCTGAGCAGCGACCAGAGTACTCGAGGTTTCCACCGTAGGACGTGACCTTATCACCAGCAAACTTGGCCGGCAACTTCCAGTACAAAGGCTGACCACGAGCTTCGCTGAATCCGTCAAAGGAGATGCTGGATCCGGTAACTCTTGGTTGTTGGCTGGGCTGGAATGGCGACTCAATGTCGTTGGTCTGCACCTGAAGTTGGTCTTGAGCACCACGTTGGTAGTCGACCTCAACTTGAGCTCTTCGGAACGAGGAAGAGTCACAAGTACCGGTCACACCAGCGCACCAACATCTGTTACAGCCCTGAGGGTTGTGAGCACTGAGACCAAACGTGTTTGGAGCACATCGGTCACAGTTTAGTCCAACAACGTTGGGTTTGCATTCGCATCGATCTTGGGTAGTTGGGGCCACAGCTCCAGGGCCACAGCTGATTTGTGGGCGTGGGCGTTCACGGATTGGGATACAGGTACCGAGGTATGGTCCTTGGCCGGAACGTTCGTAGCCTGGAGCACAGTCTTCGCAAGAAAGGCCGGTGTAGCCTGGTGGGCAAGAACATTGTTCAACCTCGAGGGCATAGCCTTCTTGGGTGTCACGTTCGACAGCGATTTGCCAGTTCACGTCTCCGAGGCTGAAAATAGAGAGTTATATTGTTCTAGGTGACACGGTTTTTATGTTTTTTAAAATTTGAACTTAAAAAGTTTAGACATAGCCTTAGCCTTAGCAATAGTTATGATATAGTACGGATCACAAGTATTTTTTCCAAAAATACCCGTAAAATTTAATTTTTTACAATTTTGATGTACCAAGAGCAAGATAATTTGAATTTCAACCATTTCGAAACCCAATTTTAAAAAGTTTTATGCACTTGACATGAGTAAACAACAACGTATTAACTACCTTTTCATCTTGTTTTTATAACTTAAGCTATGAATATAAAAGTCAAATACGCAGTCATTTAAAAAAGTTTGTTTTTTGTGCTATACATATTATACTTGCAAAAACGCAAAAAGCTTCGCGAAAACTATAGCAATTATTTACCACACATTGAGGATTGAGTAAGTGGTGATTTTACTCAACTTTAGTTAAGCTATTAAATAATTCAAATAATTCTGTGCCCTTTAGCTTCCAAGATTTGCTTTGAATTAGGGCACATAATTATTTGAACAACTTGATCGATTACATTACTCTACCTTTACCAGCTCTCAAACTAGTGTCCTTTGTTCTAGCATTAATTTTTGCTTTTGTCTTAGCCATAGCCTTGGCATTAGCGCTAGCCTTAGCCCTGGCTCTAACCCCAGTTCTAAACCTAGTCCTAGCTGTAACATTAGCCTTAGCACTAGCTTTAGTACTAGCGCCTCTGGCCCCTAGCCAAACTCGTAGCTCAAGCTCTATCTTAAGCCGTAGTCTTAGCTGTACCCCTAGCAACACCTACCTTATTGTAGACAATTTCTGTTTTACTTCTTATTATACAAACTGCAAAAAACCCTCCTCAACCTACAAATCCATAGTAAAGTTTTGCAACTAAAGCCGCTAATTACAGTAAGAGTGCGCTTTAACCTCTTACATATCTTATTTACCGGTTAGTGAGTGTTTACACTTACACAAACACTCATTATTAGTAATAACTAATTACTGTTTAGGTTGTCTAGGCTGCTCAGAGTATGTTGTTTTTTATTGTTACTTCTCGTTTGTTATATCGTGCCTAATCGAAGTTGGCTAAGCTATTGTTTACTTGTATTGGTCTATCAATTAGGCCAGGTAAACAGCGTTTATGGTGTTATATATTGTTAATATTGGCATAAATTTATTATGTGAGGTTGAGGAGATGAATAGGGTAGGGTAGGGTACGGTACAGTAGGTTAGGGTAACGTAAAGTATTGTAAGGCACGGTATGATAGGGCAAGGTACTTAGACAACAAATAACCCCTCCTACCAACCCTTATCCTTCCCGACCGTTCTACAGTGTTATATCATCATTCTATTGTCGTAAACGTTAATTTATGGTCTTCTGAAGCCTCGTCCAGTTCCAGGTACTCAAACTTAGTGCAACAGCGTTCTAGTCATCTTCATAAACGTAATGCAATCTTGGTGACGCAGTTACTTTGTCTCGGATAGCGTTACAAATGAAGCCCTACTAGCACAAGGAACATTGTTCATTGGCATTTAAGTCATTTTATATTTGAAATGGCAGCGGTTTTTGGGGGAGTATAGTTTGGTATTTCAATCTTAATGTTATGGTCACGATTGACCAAATTATCATTTATGTCTTGAATTGAAAGATTGTAAACAGAACTCTTAAAACAGCCGGCTGTGAACGCCCGAAAAAGCCTTCGGCCTTCGAGAGAACGGCAGAAGGGTTTTGGGGAACGGGAAGAACAGTTGGGGACTTTTGAGGGTTCTATCGAAAGGGTACTGTAGATTGTCCGTATATTAGTCTTCCTAATATGTCGTAATTAGAGATTGTAATTAAGGTATAAATAAATATCATATACCATCAGTAAGAAGGAACCTTATTATCGTACCTAACTGATAGACTAGGGAGATAGGTCAGCAAGTCCAAACTACCCGGACAGGGCGCAGGCTAGGTATACTATCTTTATAGTATTAGTAGGGACTGACAGTAATACCCTAAGGGGTGTATAGGTAACTCAACTCCAAAAGTATTTTACCCTAATATTAATCTGGTAAGGCTGGAGATACAGACAAGATGATTCTTTTGCTACTTAACAGTACTACTTCTATAGTACTATCTTTGTGATATTATCCTAGTTTTTCTATACCTATATCCTTCATATAGTCCTGGTTAAGTACCTATAACATACTTATACATGTTTGTATGTGTATACCAAATTAAAATAGGTATTTCACTTACTCCGGTTATCGTGCGTTTAACATACTTACTATTTTTATATTCCCTATATAACATTTACATAATACATATATGTATGTGTATGCCAAAGTAAAATGAACATTCGTTTTCTAACGTGCCCAAACACAATTAGATATACCTACTTAACACTTTACTAGAGCGCTTATAATTTCCGGGCGTTTGAAATTAAATTACTGCCTTTGCGTTTACCTTTTACTACCTAAACATACTACATTGTAATGGGTATTAGTTTAACATATGTAATTGTGTTTAGTATTAGCTAAATTAAGGTAATGTAAGGAGTATGACTTGAACGTTTTAGAGAGTAGAAAGTGAATGTAGAGAAAAATATGTCATGCTTGAAGTATATAGAAAAAAGAGAGTGTTACCTAAACATATTAGCATGTACTAGGCTGTAATGTTTTGTTTACATTAGAAGTGTTGACAACTTACACTGTTTATTATAGTAAGAGGCGTATAACTTTAGGCTAGAGAAGAAAGAAGGGGGGGGAGAAAAAAATTGCCAAATTTTAAAAAAGTGATCATTATAACATGTCCGACCATCTGCTTCGTATATGAATGAAAAAGTCATCTCCATACCCTATGTTCATTTACAAATGTACTACAATGTACTACGTAATTCCACTATAACAGAAATACCACAAAATACTATGTAATGTCCCTATGGTAGACATAACACAATGTACTGTCTAATGACCCAATGATATCCAGACCAAAACGTACACTCTCTGTAGACCACAATAATCCTACGCTGTAATCTTTTACCTCAACTTCCACGTAACGGACACAAATTGACTATAATATCACAGAGTGGTATTATATCCGAAGTGTTTCCGTTACGTGATGTTAATTACTAAAAACTACCTAAATCGCATTAACAAAGGCTTTAAGGCCGGATTCACCAGTACGTCACAATTTTCGAATTTTTAAATTTTGTTTTTATACTTTGGCAGAACAAAATAATTTGGCCTTTTAATTTGGTGATGTCCTTTAGTTAAAGTCTATTTTATTTACCGTACTGTATCATTAGTTATGCTGTTTTGATTTACTTTACCGTAACTTGTCTTGTTTTGTTTTGCCTAGCATTGCCTTGGATAGAACTGTCCAGTCCTGCCATGCCTTGCCGCCTTGCTTTGCCTTGCCTTGCCTTGTATTGGCTTGGCTTGGCTTGGCTTGGCTTCCCTTGCCTTGCCGCCTATCCTATCCTATCCTATCCTATCCTACCCTACCCTAGTCTAACCTATCTTACCGTACTCTACCCTAACGTAAAGCACAGTACTCTACATTACCCTAAATAACACAAAACTACCCTACCATACTCTTTCCTACCCTACAGTGAACCATTCTACATTACCTGTTTTAAAATTTGACCTACCCGTACTGATCGTATGCTTCACCATCAATCAGTCTACTCTTAGCTTTCTCACCTTTTCTAAATTTATTAGCTTCTATGCTTTTTATATTGTCATTTTTGAGCCTTTATACAACCTATGCCTTGCTATACCATTCACACTATGCCTTGCTATACCTTACCCCACATATTTGTTGTACCTTCAGTCTTATACGTACTAACATTAGTTACTGTACTGTACTCGGTTTCCAGCGTACGTCTTCCCCTACTGTATTTCATTCCTACTATACTTCTTCCTCTAGTGTATCGTATATCTTAGCTATTTCTTCAGTTTTCAATTTGTGTTACATTTCTTAAACATTTGAAACCATGCCTTCCAGCTCAACCCACTATTCGTTTCGTCACGACAAACTTTGTAAACTAATATCCGCAAAACTGTGGTGTTACTTTATCCATTGTGCGTGCCGAAGGCTAGCGTGCGCAGTCAAGCGGATTTTCTCGAAATTATCCCTGTTCTTTGCTACCTATTGCTGTGACGTAGCAGGCCGCAGGTGTTTGTAATTTTGTTATATTTATTGGTTTTGGCCGTTTCCGCACATGTAAACGATTTATGTTATGAAACTGTCATTTTTGGTTGTAATAAGTAATGTTTCTGTTGGTACAATGTACAACATTAATCAGCTTGATGGGGTTGGTAGTTTTGGTATTGTTTTTGTCATCAATTTTTAGTCTCTGCCATTTTTAGCCATCAAAAAAGCCGTACCTTACCCTAGCCTACCTTATTATGCACTACCCTACCCTACCCTATCCTACTCTATCATTCCTTGCCCTACCCTACGCTATTAAGTACAATACGGTACATGATACGTGCAATCTACAACGATAATAACTGTCTTCCATCTTGTCTACTGTAATAAATTACAATTAAAACCATTTTTTCTTACCAGACTCACAATAAGATAATTATAATGTGCAGAAGCCAATTTTAAAATATTAACTCAATCTCTAAATATTACACTAGTTTTTGTAAAATTAGTCTTTAAACTGTCTGCTTACAAGCTTACGATCTGGTTATAAGCTATACATTCTTTACAGTATCAAAGCAAGATAATTAATGGGCTACTAGGTTGTTCAAGTAATTATGTGCTCCCTAACCCCGAAAATTTGTTTTGAGAGGGAGCACAAAACTATATGGACTACCTGATAAAAATATAACAAAGAGCAAAAAAAGCTTGCTTCCGTTGCCGGGAATCGAACCCGGGCCTTGCGGGTGAGAGCCGCAAATCCTAACCACTAGACCACAACGGAACATGCCTTCAACGCTTTTAAACTCGATCAGATTTGTACCGTAGGCTATGAAATAAGGTTTTTTGTCATTTTTTTTTTAAATTTTCGAATTTTTAAACTTTATTTAAAAATTTTTTTAAAATTTTTTTTTCAAACTTCGAAATTTTCAAAAAAATTTTTTGTGAAAAAATGCCATAACTTTTTTTACATTTTCATTGTAATTTCAATGCCATATGCCTCAAATTCCAAAAAAGTCCCTAATCACCTCACAGCAAGAATTTTAAATTTCAAATCCATGCCACAGGCTGCAACGTTTAATTTAAGCCATAATATTATCCATTAGAATGATATTATCCATTAGAAATGGTGTTAAAAATAGGAGCCATGTTTCCGTTTGACTTTTCCCGCACACCTCGAGGCCCGCTCTTTCGAATACCTATAAATGCAGTAAAAGTGGGAGGAGCGTTGGGCCCTGAGGCTGCGGAGAGCCATGATATGAGCAATAAAGGAAAAGTCTTGGACAAGGCATGGCAGGGAGTTAGTGGTGATTTAGGAAGGAGAAAGTGCTTTTTTTAAAGTGTTTTGGAATAGGCAGGGGTAGTTTTTTAAAAAAAATTTTTTGAGGCTGGTAAAGTGGCAAGGGTACATTTTACTTTTCGGGGTAGGGGGAGGGGCTCGAATATTGTTAAAAAATAAATGTTCTTTTGCCTTTTTTTTTGCAAGTTATACCCTATCTTTATCTTACATCTTATTTTACGGCATCGTATTTTACCTTACCCTACCATACCCCACACAACCCTTCAAACCCCAAAAAATGCCATTTCTAATTAACCCAAGCCTCAAAAACTACAATTTCCAACCATTTTCTACCGTCCTCACCCTACTTACACCTGTCCGAAAGTTTTTTCCTCTAACTTTTCGTGTGTACGTAAATATACTACGTAGTAACAAGGCACGTACCTCAAGTAAACACGTAATTTTGTCTGGGTAATTATATCACAATGATGTTGTTTATGTCATTACTTTTATTTAAGTCTTTTGTTTTTGTCCCCAATTGATATTATTCTTTTTATCACTTATATAAAGCTGTCTGAGAAAGTCTTGTCGTTTTTGAGCGTGCAAATACGAGGAAATTGGCGACAAGGCTTTTTTCAAGATTTGTCTTTCTTTCTTCTGAAAATTAAGACATCTGAAGGTTATTTTAGGCCCTTTAAAATGCCCAAACAGTTGAAGTTGATATTGTCATCAATTTTTAAGCCAAGTTATACCATATAGTGATATCATACCACATTTAACCTTTATGACCACTACTAAAACCTTGAAAACGTACTAAAACTTTGACTTCTTCCCCATGCCATTTTAAAATTTCCAATAATCCATAAAATATATTTATAAGAAGATAATAAAACCAAAATTTGTTATGATGTGATGCAAAAACAAGGTTATTTTTTGCATTTTATGGCTTACAACAATCACTTTTCCATGTTATTATAGCTGTTTTTGGCTTTAATCTGTATAGTTTGCTAATATTTTTATAGTTTTGTCTGGACTGAGACTTGGAATGATATCTTAGTAACCTTCAATTCGTTATACAATAGTTACAGTGAAGCTCCTGTATAAAGAACAACTTGAATTACTGTGCAAAGTGTAATATAACCGATAGTTCAAGAATTTAAAAGTTGTTCGTGATACAGGACCTCCACTGTATTTGTAGGGCATATGCTTTTAAAAAAAAATTTTTTTGCGGGGAGGGGGGAGGGGTGAAAGGTGGTTTTTGAAAAAAAAAATTAAAAGGGGTGTTTTTTATCAAAAAACTACAAAAATAAAGAAAAAAGTTTAAAAAAGCAGTACAAACAGTATTTTGTACTCTACCTGTCTTCAACCCACTCATTTGTACCTACTCTTCCTCCTGTTATACACCTACTCTTCCTCCTCATACAAACCTATTCTTCCTCCTCACATACACCTGATCTCCCTCCTCATCTCTTCCTCCTCAGCTACAATCATTCGTTGCCATACCATAACATACATTTCTATGTCTCGGTGCATACAATACTCATTAAAAAACTTATGAGTACTTGACTTATAGTCATGATGCACATTGACATAAGAAAAATAAAAGTCTTTAGTAAATTTTCAACTATTTTATTAGTTTTTATGGTTTTTCAGTGGGTTTAAAAAGAAATGTCATGATTTTTTCAGATTTTGTTTTCTGGAACTCCCTTCCTCCTCCCCCCACCGTACTATGCATTTTTTTCAAAAAAGTTGAACGTGGTTCCCCTGTTAATTTAATTTTTTTTAATTCTACAGAGCCCTGCAGGGGGACCACGTTCAAATTTTTCAAAAAAATTTTTTTTATTAAACTTTCCTACCCTTTCCATTCGCCAATACTATCATATGCTAACATACAACTCAACTTTCATACCCAAAAAACCTCAATTATCTTCTTTTTTTCCATCTTTTCTTCACATTTCAAGTCTGTTTTTATGCCTACACGCACTTAATTCTCAACGTGCACATTAAGTATAACATTTGCATTTGTAGTAAACATCGCATGACTTCTCCTACAGTTTAAGGTTAATCAACTTTAATTGTCGTTGAAATAATATAAAATTGTTATGTTAATATTACCGTTTTGATTGTCTTAACGTATAATTAGTGGGTCGGAGTAGAATAATGAGAATGGCTTCAGACGTACTTCGAGTCAAAACTTTTGGGATATGTAAATTAGATGATTGGGGGCTTGTAGGGTATGGTTGTAGAGCATTTGGACTTTTTTAAGATTTTTTTGAAAAATGAAAAAGTTTCAAAATTTAAAAAAAAAAATTTTTTTTTGAAAATTTTTTTGTTACCCATGCCGTTCTATAAAACACAAAACTTTAGGGCCAAATTATTAACTCATACACCCCTCAGAAAGTATTAAAACGCTCCTGACATTGCACCTGTTTACGCATAAAATTAGAATTATATTTACAATGTTCCAATTCGTATCGTATGTTCACGGAACGATGAAGATAATATATTACTGTTTGCTCATTATAACACCGGTTTCGTGAATTTGCGAGCAAAACCTAATTAAAATTTGATTAGAATTAGGCTTTAACTATTAAGTAAAAGGTTAAAGACTTGTCGTCAATTTATATTGGCTTGCACGGGCAAAAACGACAAAACTTTTTAGATTAAACAAAGGCTAACTGCGGCTAGGACAAGAACTGGGGTTCAAGCTAAGGCTCGAGCTAATTCAAAGGGTAGTACTAGATCTAAGGTAAGGCAAGGGCTAGTACTAGAGCTAAGGCTATAGTTAGAGCCTAAGCTAAGCCTTGGGCTAGGGCAAGAGCTGAAGCCTTGTCAATCTGGCGCTAAGACAAGGGCAAGTGCTAGAGCTATGGGTATAAGGCCAAAGCTAGGGCTAAGGCTAGAGCTTGGGCTTAAGCCAGAGCTAGGGCAAGAGCTGAGGCTCAAGCTGAGCTTAGAGCTAACAATGTAAGACAATGGCTAGTACTAAAGCTATGGCTAAAGTTAGGGCGAAAGCTAAGGCTACCTACAGTTAAAAGTCCAAAAACGTTCCACTACCTTATACTACTTTCATGTTTCACATCCTCATCCGTAAACCAAACCCCCTGTTCCTCAAATTCAAAATTTTCCAAATTACTATAAGTGGCCCTAAATTGTCTATAAGGAGCTCAAAAATGACGTTGTCTTATCATTTTTGGTTTGCCAGTATTTCCTCAATAAATTTTCGTATGTTTGTTTAGTACATCCTTTATGTTACACTCGCGTCAGAATACACAGACAGTGTTTGTGAAGACCAGCACGTTTTTATATGAATATGAATGAGTTTTATCAATTTTTAAATTTTTTTGGGTTTAGTTCTATTTTTAAGGGTATGGGTAGGGCATGTTATCATATTTTGGTACGTGCTGGGTTGTTTTGGCCGTGTACAGGCTACCCCTTAATGAAGGGGTAAAAAAATATAAAAATTATTTGAAAAATGGGGCCTTAGGTACTATTGAGTTGTTCAAATAATTCTGTGCCTCCAACCCTAAAAATTTTGTTTCAGAGGGAGCACAAGATTATTTGAACAACCCAATAGTACATAAAATCTCATTTTTCATCCCCGTAACCTTTTCAACGACCGCTGCCATTACTTTCTGACCCAATCTTCGGCCAATGCCATTACTTTCTGACTCAATCGTATCAAATAAAACAAAATGTTACACCTCATAAAACTAAAAAAATCCAAAGCCAATTATTTTTGACCCTCGTGAGTAACAAATCTCGAAAAACTTGTATTTGGCGGTGCTGGAAATAACAAACAACCCATTTTTGATACCTAAAATAACAAGAAATTCCTTATTAACATTAGTAAAGCTTGTTAAAATAATTTTGTGCCCCTCTCAAAGCTTATTAATATTATTGTTCAAATAATTCTGTACCCTCTATCAAATCTTATTTATATTATTGACCAATGCCCCTCTCCAACCAAATTTTTAAGATTAGAGGGTACAGAATTATTTGAACACCTAATAACTCTTGCTAGTCAAATTTGTTACACTAAACAGCTCTTGCTAGTCGTACTTCCACAATTATTTACATTAATATAACCAAAAAACAATGTTATTTTTACCCTCTTATTAATTATTAAGCCCTGAACATTGCTTTATTCATTGTGTTTGGCATGTTTTCTTGTTTGTTTACCCAAAGTTATTAAAATGTTTGTCCACACCCTCACTATTTATAAGCGAGTAGTTGTTTTTTTCGTTAGGTTTCTATTGTTTTTGCCTTCTTTGGGGTTGTAGGACTTTTTAAAATTGCTAGCTTAAGATGTCAAAAAGCAGTATGTCGTATTTTACAAACATTTAGGTGAGTGTCAGTGCTGGAAGAATAGTTTTAGCCTATTTTTCTTCTTTTATCACGCCTTCTAAGCCCCCAAGGCATGACACCCCTTATCGTGCTCTACAAACCATCGTCCGACCTTATGATGCCCAAACACTACTTATAAACCAATGTGCTATCTTATAATGCTCAAAGAGCACTTATGGTCCCCTAAAAATCAACGTGCTATCTTATTATGCCCATAGAGCACTTATCATGACCTATAAACCAACTTTCTATCTTACAATCGCCAAACAACACCGTGCTCTCCAACCCTCCCCAACTTTCACGCATATTAACCAATACACCGCTCCATATCGCTTATAAACCGAAACTAAAAAAAATGTTTTAGCACTTGCAAACCCAACAAAAAGCAAAAATGTCGCCGTGTTTTCCAATCGTCGGGATTCTACGTCGTTTCCGGTGTCGGTCGAGGAATCGACGAGCCGGCAAGAAACCGGAAAACTACCTAACGCCCTACGAAATGGAAATGGTACCGATGATGCTCAAGGAGTTGTCAGCACAGTCGCCAAGGTTTTTCGAGACTGTCAGCTTCAGATGGTTCAAAGAGGCAGTTGCGTCGGCTAGAGAACCGAATGTGCCGGGGGTTTCCGGGAATTATTGTAAGTTTTGCTTTGTGTTTGATGAGGAAAAGGGTGGTTTTCTTAGTGCAGTAAGATGATTTTTTAATGCAGTAAGCTGGGTTTTTAGATCAGTATTACTCTAAGCTTTTCTTCATAGTATAAGGTATAAAAAACATCAAAAATATCTAATGTTTAAGCCAAAAAACCGCTAAAAATAAACTTATTTTAACCCTAGGTTGATCTAAAAATAAATTTTTTATCAAAAAATTCCCAAAAAATCAATTTTTCACCCCAAAATGATCAAAAAACCATCAAAACTCAAATTTTAAACTCAAAAACCCCTGTTTTTCCCCATTTCACAGTCATTTTTGCCTATTTCCTGCACTTTCAAGCCTTTTCGCGTGTCAAAAGTCATGCCAATTAAACTATTACTACTTTACATACGACTAGTAGACCACAAATTGCCTATTTATTCTGTTTTTTAGCTTTTGTCAATTAATTTTTAATACTTTAATTACCCCTGCTCTTGGGTGGGCTTACTGAAAAGTGAAAAATTGTTAACAAAAGTCTTGTAAAAACTTATTGAAGTAGTTAAAAAAGTTTTAAAAGTTTACAAAATTACCAAATAGGCTTAAATAAGGCTTGAAAAAGGTCATAAGTATAGAGAAAAAGCCAAGAATATTGGGTTTTGTCATCATTTTTAATCAAATTTGAACTTTTTTTGTGATTTTTTGTAGTTTTGTGATTTTACATGCCTGAAAATGACTTCATAGTACTTAAAAACCCATGTCAATAAATTCATACTACTCATCTGAATCAATGTCCTCATAAAAACCAAATTTCAAAAGATGTACCCAAACAAGATGGAAGCTTAAGAAATGTTGCCAAACATGTTTTTCACCTTATGACATGCTGCTTTCCATGGAAATCGTATTCAATATCGAATTACGAGTATTTCCGCGTTCCCAACGGAACATTTACACTAACAAGACGACAATTAAGCATAGCGACCTTCTTCCTTATACTCGTGCAAAAAAGCAAATATTTTTGTTTTGAATAATTTGGATTGTAGTGCTTTGAATTGACGGTGATAAGAGTGATTTTAGAGGTGTTATAGTACAGTACAAATTAGGTATTGAGAGTAGAAGCTTATCAATTAAGTATTGAAAGTTTAGGCTTGTAAGGTACAGTTTCAAATATGAATTTAAAGCCTAAAGTTAAGCTTAACCAAGTCTTACAATACAGCCAAAATTTAGCTTAAAGTCAAGCCTAGAACTAAGCCTAACGTAAGCCTAATTATGCATAATAAAACAACCAAAATGTAGCCTCAAACTATGCCTGAAATTAAGCTTAAAATGAGACTAAAGCATGCCTTAAAAACCCGAAAACTAGCCCAAATTTAGTCCAAAATCAAGCCCAAACTTAAGCCTAAACTTAAGCCTAAAACCGGCCAAAAACTACAAAAATCACGTTTTCAAAAACTCTTTAAAAATTCAAAAAACACCTTTTTTTGTTTCAACTAATTAAAAATTGCTCGAAATCACCTATTCGGCCAAAACAATCTCGTATCATATACTCTTTGTTCTATGTACGTAAGAAAAAGTTCCGGCCGAAGTAACTTTTGGCGTCATAGAGTGTAATGCCATGAATACATTACAACTATGACGCTAATTATATGTGACAAATCTTAATGAACTTAAAACTTTTTGAGGTTTAAATTAAGGCTGTTTCAATACAATGTCTGCATTTTTTAAAGCATTTTTTGAATTTCTAAAATTATAAAAACTTTTTTTTGAAAATTTTAAAAAATGTCAAAAACTCCATTTTTAGCCAAAAATAAATGACAAAACCTCTGTTTTTGGCCAAATTTTAAAAAATTTTTTCTTCCGTTTTAATATTTTTTATAGTTATAGCTACAAAAAAAGGCTGTAACGTAGGTGTTTAAATGTCTAAACTTAACATTATCATGTTGTAGTAGCTTTACGTTTATAAAAATTTTAAAATAAATTGTATTTCTGCCATTTTTATTCAATTTTCATTACGTTTGAGCAAGATGAATAAAGATTTTCGCATCTCAAGCTTTAAAAAAATTATTTTTATAGTAAAACGTTGAAGAAAAATGTCATTTTGTAGCTTGAATTTATAAAAACCGCCACTTTTTGAAGGTTTAGTCCCTTTTCTTAAGTTTTAGGTAACAAAAAATGATGTTTTTGTAGTCTTTATTAAACCATTTTAAATTTTTCGTACTCTGCCTTGAAGTAAAATATAGTTTTAGAAGCTTGTCTTATAACAATCTGAAGTTTTAAGACCTTCTCTTGAGGCAATTTGAAGTTTTAAAACATTTGCTTAAGACAAATTGAGGCTACAAGTGATGTAAAGCAAAGTTCCTTAGTCTTATGATGTAGATAAGCCAAAAAACTAATATGTATTAATGTCACGTATTAATACAAAGCAATATAGAATTAACATAGAAGAATCTGGAAAGTTGTAATAGCTATGAAATGGCATGAAATCCTAAGAAAAACAAAGAAAACTGACAAAAACTGAGCGAAAACAATGAAATTTTGAAGAAAAATAGGCAAAGTGATGACAAAAGGACTAGTATCTTTTGGACTAGAACGTCTAAGATCGTCTAAACGTGTTTACAATATAAGAGTGTATCTTGTCTATCAAAACACAGTCAAGAAAGTTTTTAAAATTCGATTTTTCAAGCCAAATTCAATCAAAATGGTTGAAGAACTACCTAAATTCTCTCAAAACCACTTATAAACCCCCATGAAAACTCTTAATAAACCCCCATTTTCAGCCGCTCCACCAGTAACAATGACCGAGTTCGAGTCGGAAGGCCAAGCCTTGGAAGAACTGATCCGACTGGTCGCAAAAACCTTGATGGAAAAAGGGATCTTCGACGATGAAATCGAGAACAATCTCAACGCCTATCGTCATAAACGTGAACAATGGAAATGTACCAACGCTGCTGCCACCGTCTCCGCCACGCTAGCCGCGCCAACCCTGTTGCGAACCCGCTCATTCTCGGCCGCCGTCGCTGCTCCACCAATATCATCATCAAGGTTATGCCGTAAGAATGGTGTTATCACGGAGACGACTACTACAAAGTCTCGGCCTGGTTTGCTTGACTGTATTTGTGGTGGACGGCAGAGAGGCAGTGCTGCTCGTCAGACTGACGCATTATTCGTACAGTTGGGTGAGGTGCTGGCACATCAGTATCAATGTAGTGTGGGGGTGGATAAAGATGGGAATGTGCATGAGAGAGAGTTGAAACTATTGATCTGGAGACACTTTGTCCAAATGTTTGTGGCAGTGTTGACTGATAGAGCTAGGTTTCCTGGCTAATATTGGTTTGGGTATTGTACTGGATTAGAATCTTTGATAATATACTAGCTTAGATATTGATGCTTGATATTATACTGGCTTATAAATGGAAAGATTGATATTACAGTAGCTTTAGAATAGATGATTTGTACTATAGTAGTTTAGAAATTATAGTGCTTCGTACTCAACTTGTCCTCTTTGATATTAAAAAGCTCTTTATTACGTCTAGGGTACCTTATTGTAATTTACCTTATTGTATGATATAAAAATGTCTCAAAAAGTTATTGTAACTTATTGTAAACCGTTTTCTATGGGTAATATCGCCGACTTTGCTATTTTTTGAAGTCTTTGATCATTTAAAAATTTTTTAAAATTTTTTGAAACTTCAATCTTTTCTTTATAAAGATTTAATGTTAGCGTCTACCGCAAACATATGTGATATGTTATCCTTGTCTTATATTCTTATGATATCGCATCTCTTTTTGTCATCATTTTTTGTATTTCTTTTTGTATTTATTCGTACTTTAGAAATCGAACAAGTCCTATTGTCTACTATAATATAGACCTAAGTTCTTTACCTTTTTTAATATCCTATTATCTCTGTGTTGTCTTATTATCAAATTTGATTTAACTTGTCATCTTTTGTTCATACAAAGCTTAATTTTTAATTTTTATTACTGTATTTTTTTATTTTTCGATCTAATTCTGCTTATTTTTGAAAGTTCAAATAAATAATTTATAAAAAATATTAAATAGCAATCAGACTTCGTGTATTTTACAAAAAAAATTTTAAATGCCGCTTATCAAAATCTCTAAATTATACTAAATTCATGCATTTATAAACCTTTTTTTCAAATGCCCAGCGGCCAAATGCTTTAAATTTTGCAATAAAAGATAATGGGCTCGTTAGGAAGTTCAATTTCTTTCAAATTACATACATTTAAAACTTTTTCATATTGAACCATATGGTTTTTGGGGATTACGTAGGACATTAAATTACACATGTATGAGCTTCTTATATACTATAGACTTTTTCTACATTATGAACATATGTTGTAATACATATGAAGTCCACACATTGTAATAATTTTTGTGAAAAAAGTTGAATTCAAATTAATTTCCTTTATATTCTTAAATAGCTCATTACTTTTTATACAAAATAATAACTTAAATTTTTTAAAATTTTAGACTCTTTTTCACAATTTGAAACCACTTTTTAGGTATTACATCAACCCTATTTTTTTAAGTATCAACGATTTTTCTCAACTAATGATATTCACATAATAACCTTGCTCTTGATACAATAATGCCAAAATATATGTTACCCTTTTTTCAAAAATATTTTATTTTGTCTTGTTGAAAAAAGAATGGCGCATCAATTGATATATAAAAAAAATTTAAAATTAAGCCATTCTTTTTGCATCAACTAAAAAATGCCTAAAAATGGCTAAAAAAAAGCTGAAAAATCCCGTTTTTAAGCCTAAAAGTCGTTTTAAAAAACCAAAAGTGCCTTTAAAATACTTTTAAAACCTGCTAAAATAAACAAAAAACCTTATAAACCTACCTGGTAGAAGTCTGATCGTCAGTGTGAGTAGCACGGATCAAGAAAGTGTCCAAATCGGCCAGAACCATCATCAAGTCGCTTCTTTGAGCCGGTTGTCCGCTCAAATGTTCAAAGTTGTTCTCGTAGGTTTCGAACTGAACTCGGACTGGTTGATGAGGCTGGAACGTGCGCTCTTGATCACGTGGACGATGGACCAATGTGATTCCGTTACCCTTGAGAACGATGAGAGGTTCTGGAGAGATTGGGCCGGACCCAGCGTATTGGAGTTGAATTGAGAGGTCACCGCCGTAGGCTGATACCTAAAATTTGAAGTTTTTAAGAGTTTGAAGGTTTTAAAAATCAAGTTTTAACAAGAACTTTGTTTACAAGGCAAAAGCAATCTATTATTTACTTTTTACAAGTTAGATTAATCATTTGACCGTTTTTACCTTTTCGATACCTATAACCATACACTTGCCTATAACAATATAAACCACCCTACCTTGTCGCCCAAGAATCTCTGCGGCAATTGCCAGTATCTGATCTCCGGATGACTTTCAGTGTTCGTCAAATGTTCTGGCACGGTGTACTCAAACTGTTCGCTGACTGGTCGCTTTTCAATGTCGGTAAGTACGACTCCATCTGAATGACCTTCAGCAAAGTACAGTTTCTCCTAAAATGCCATTTTTAACATGACATAGCAACAAAAAATGTTCGAGGGAATAACAGAGATAGTGATAGTGTTGTTAGTAACGGAAATTAGAGATATTAGGTAACAAAAACTAAACAAAACCAAGTTTAAACACAAAACAAATGAACGATGATGGTACACTAGTCTCTAAACTGGGACCTGACAACACTTACACAGCCCATATCCTGCAACAAGTTCAACATTTACATTAGTTTTTATTATATTATTACAGTCTTTACCATACTAAAACATATTTAGAGATATAGAATCTTTTAAAGTAAATTGTCTTACTGTAACATATACAGTATACCAATTATAAAACATGCTTTTAAAATGCCAAAAAAAAATAAAGAATAGTTTTTGTCGTATTTTACATTATAGACCTTTAAAGTAATTATTATTACCGTAAAGTCAATTTACAGCCTATTTTTTCACAAATCAAGTTTTCGCGCCGAGACCCAAAACCAAGTGAAGTGTGAACAATAAGTAACAAACATCATTTAAAAGACCACTTCCTAACTTAAAAATTTTAAAACGTCCCAAAGAACGTCATTCCCTAATCAATTTTAACAAAATCAAGTTTTTTGTCGGGACCCAAACCGATATTATGTGTAAACAAAAATAACAAAATAAAACATAAATAACATAAAATTATAAACTAAAATATATGTTCAAAATAATTTAAAGATAATTTTCAAAATGTTTTACTTACCTTTGTTCTGTACCAGTTGGAAGATTGGCATTGGTTCGAAACTCCGAAACAGAAGCAGTTCAGACATCCTTTGGATTGTTGTGGCGAGTTGTATTCACCGGACTGTAAGTTGTAAATGGTATTATTGGTCAGTAAAATAATTTGTAATTTATATTTTATTAAATATTTATAGAATAAAAAGGTGTTGACTCAAAAAACGTGTTTATCTTGACCTAGAGGCCTCTGATGTCTAGTGTAATATAATTTTATGTATAAAACCTTAAAATTTAGGCCTGATGTAACAGTTACTAACATTTTTTTAGCACAATAATATAATTTCCAACATCTTCAAGCTAAATATATTAACTTACTCTACACGACTGAGCTGGTGGAGCAGTTGGTGGTGGTGGAGCGGGGATGTTGACGATTCTGACGATACAATCTGGTGTAGCCAAGACACGTCCTTTCACGTTGATGGCTTCACAAGTGTAAGCTCCTTGGTCCATTGGTCTAAAAGTTTATGGATTAGATGGGCTTTGAGGATAAAAAGCAAGTTATGTTATAGTAGATGGGTAGTGCAATATAGTTTTATTTATTTGGTAACGTTTTTGATGTTGGACTGCTTCAAAATTTAACATAGTCAAAGATAACATGTCTTTCTTGCTTTAAAGATAAAAATCGACCTAAAGGTTGGCATGCTTTACTTTAAAAACCAAAAAAAATTGTGGTACGTCAGACGGCTAGTACAATGTAATTTTTTCGAAAATTTCAGTAGTTTTCAAACTTGAATTAATATAAAATTTAAAAACTAGTATGATGTGATATTGTTCTTGCCATCACAAGCCCAAAACCATATTCAAACACAACTTACTGTGCGTTGTTAACGGTCAAAGTGCCGACACCTCCCTCCGAGTGTTGTTGACAACGTGGTGGCTCACACACTGGACCCCAATTCAAACGCCAATTGATGTATGGATCGGGAACGGCAACGGCACGACAAGTCAGCTTAAATTGATCCCCTTGCCTCACGATTCGGTTGGAGTCTGGAGGCTGAACGACGGTTGGCTGAACACATCCAACTTCATCCGACCCGTCACGACAATCATTGGTACCGTCACATTGGAACGATCTCGGCACGCACTGTCTTTTGTCGGCACATTGGAACTCGGTGGGTTGACACAGCTCTCCGGGTTTTCTTTCTTTACAGTTTTGTTCGTCCGACCGATCTCCACAATCGTCGTCACCGTCGCAGAGCCACATTTTCTGGACGCAACGATCGTTGTTGCATCTGAATTCGTTTGGTTCACAGTGCCGTTTGGCTGGGCAGTTCTCCTCGTCCGATCCGTCGCGGCAATCGCGTTCACCATCACAAACGTAGTCGGACTTGACACATTCGTTGGAGCCGCAGGCACGTTCGTCGGCCATACAACCGTGGCTTGGGCCGGCTGGCAGGGCGTTGGAGAAGGTTTGGGGGCCGTCTGGAAGGGGTGGATTTAGTATTTTTGAGTTTTTACGGGCTGTATTACAACGAAAGGGGCAGGGACAGTCATTTGGGATTGGCAGAGAGTTTTTTATGATAGGCGGGGTAAAAAAATTTTTTAAATAAAAAACTTTCGAATTTAAAAAACTTACAAGACTGAACATCCAGCGTAGCATAAGCCTCAACGGAACGTCCATTTAGCACGGCGATACAAGCGTACCGGCCTCTGTCGTTGACGTTCGTGCTGGGTATGAACAGTTCAGCTCCGCTTTCATGGGCGTGCTTTGGCAACGGTCCGCCGACCTTAGTCCAGCGGGTTTGGGGGAAGGTACTGCCATCGGAAGTACGAGCACGACATTCGAATCGAGCTTCACGACCTTCGCGAACCGACAGTTCGTGGGGGTAGACCGTGATTTGGAGATCTTCGCTTCCGGCGTTGGAGTTTTCTGAAGAAATTATATTAGTTTAGGGGGTGTTTTTGAATTTTTTTAATTTTATAATTTAAATTTAGGTAACATTTTTATTTTTTTTTAATTTTGAAGCAAAATACGATTGGCAACATGTTTTTAAGGATTTTACTAATTTTAAAATGATAAAAAAGACTTGTCGCCAATTTGCACTAGTTCAGGCGTTAAAAAACGACAAGACTTTTTTATCACTAAAGTAAACCAAAAAATTTATAAAATTGATATTATAGTAAGTTGATTGACAAAACCTAAAAAATTTTAAAAAACGACACTTTAAAAGTCATATTATACCATTTGAGTAGTAATTGTGTCGGCGGGCTATGGTTGGCACGGTTAGTGCCAACAGCACAACGACGGCGCTCAATGCCGTCCCTAGGAGCCGCCTTCGCATGCTAAAATACGACAAAAATTTTAGTTTTGATTTTTTTAAAACACACGGTAAAAGCTCGTATTTGAAGATGACACAAGGTAAACTTTTTGTGAATCAGTCCTTTGTGTTAGGTCGGATAAACACGATTTTTTAAGAATTAAAGGGTAATGAACGTGGTTTATCAAGGTAAAATACGCGTTAAGGTCTTATGCAAACGTTCTTTTTTGAAGAAAAATACAGTAAACTAACATTAACTTTAAAAAAAATATTGTAAGATGGGGGGGTTGTTCAATTAATTCTGTGCCCCCTCTCAAACCAAATTTTAAAGGTTAAGAGGCACAGTATTATCTGAAAAACCTAATATTATCATACCCCTCACTTTAATATGATCATACCCTCTCTTTGAACTAATGACTAATAACTCCAATTCCCCCACCCCAAAAATAACAACATGACCGGGCGGATCAAGATGTTTTGCGAACTTGTTTTCAAAGTTATTTATCACGAAGAACATGGCCACTTTTTCCGTTTTTTGAGTCATAAAATTTGGTCGTAAAATCGCATGGCCATCTCGCATGAAACGAGCAATCGGTTTATTAGTAGGGCTAAATCAGGCCGATTACTAAACTAAGTCAGACAATTATTAGGGAAAAAGTCGGACGATTACTACGGCCAAATCAACCGATTACCACGGCCAACTCATACGATTACTATAGCTAAATCAGGGAGAGGTTACTATGTCTAATTCAGCTAATTACTACGGCCATATTAGACGATTCATTCTTTATTTAAGATGCGTCGATTAACGTCATTTACAAAAGCTGTTGTATTTAGTAACGAGTTATTTTTAGGCTAAAATTGTTTTGTAATAGTTCAGAATAGTATGACAATAAGGATAGGTAAAATACGAAGATTAACGTGGTCCCGCTGTGGATTTTTTTGTAAAAAAAATTTTAAAACCAAAAACATTTTTTCCGTTTTTTAAAAACAGACTATTAGTTCTACAGAGCTTAACAAGCTGTATGATTTTAACAAATTACAATAATGTACATTTCAAAATGGCAAAGTTACAGATTGTCAAAGAAACAAAAAATGATCGGCTTCCAGGAGAGTTCGAACTTTCTTAATATTGAACTTTATATTTTTATATCAATATAACTTTGCTGAAACTTAAGATATCAATCTTCACCTACTCTACTCTACTCCACCCTAATCTACGTCAACTCTACACCATCCCACCTTATCCTACTCCGCCTAACTATACTCCATCTTACTCTACCCTTTTACCTCAAAAATCCAAAATTAATGCCAGCCAAATGCACAATTTAAAACAAAATTCAATTCACAAATTTTTTAATTTTACTTTTTTTTAGCCCGCGAAATACCTTTTAAAGCCCACAAACGTTAATACAACGTGATAAGAGAACCAGTGTCCATTAAAGAGCACATTAAAGCATGAAAAAGTTTGATTGAAACAAGATCAAAGAAATCGACCACAGACAGCCGCCACCAATTTCCAACATTTTTATTAACCACTCTGTTAAAGATTAGTGCTTAACAACGTTTTTTTGGTTTTAGGTGATAAAGGTTTTGTCATTTCGATGGATTTCAATTTTTTTGGGCGTATTTTACATTTTCTATCGTATCTTTCTTTTTCCTCAAAATTTAATTATTTACTTTGGTACTACAAGAAGGTAAACAGTCTTAAATGGCATAAAAAGCCAAAATTTTATAATTCAAGTCACTCATTTTGTCATGATCTAGCAAAAAATGCTCAAAACCCTCCCAAATCACTGTTTTATTAAGTTGTTCAAATAATTCTGAGCCCTCTAACCCCAAAACTTTGCTTTGAAAGCGGCACAAAACTGCTTTTAGAGAAGCACAGGATTAGTTGAACAACATAATATCGATTAAAATAGTCAAAACCCTTCAAAAATCACCGTTTTACCAGCCAAAACAGTCAAAAAGTAACGTTTTACCCCATAAACCTTAGTAAAAAGTTACAAAAACAAAAGTTTAAAGTCATCGCTTATTACAGTAACCCTTTCCTGTTTGTGGTCTCGCTTTCCAACGGAAAAAACAAACAAAAACGTTGGTTTTTCAGCAATGAAACGTCGAATTAAAATTGAAGCAAGCGATGAAAATGGAGAGACAATACTCTGATTACTTTTTGTTTAGAGGGGTAGGGGTGTTTTTTCAAAATAAAAAAAATTTTCTACATATTAGATGCCGACATAAAGAACCCGCCATTTTTTACAGGAAATTACAGGGAAAGTATGGCGGTTCTTTATGACGGCAGCTGATATTTTTCAAAATTATGTTACAGTAGGCTATTGCTATCATTAATGCTTGAGATTACCGCCAAAATCCCTTTAACTAAGGGGAGACTACCCTACAGATCTTACCTCACCCTACCCTACCCTGCCCTACCGTACCCTACTCTGCCCTATTCTACTCTATCTTACTTTACTCTACTCCACGTTACCCTACCTCGCCCTACAACACCGTAACCTCTACTAATATCTGCCCCCACCCTACCCCAACCCCCTACTAATTATGCTCCTACCCCACTCTATCACTAACCCCTCTAACACTAAACAAAGTTGATGAAAGCCCATCAGCGAAACGCTGAATCGAATCAATTCCATTCGGAAATCGCGATGAAACGTCGCTCTCATTAACAAATTGTTTAGTCTTGTGAAAAGAAAAAAACTTGTTAACAAATAAATTGTTTAGATATTTATTTCGATTAATTCGATTCAAAGTTTCAATAAAAAGTCGTCAAGTCAAGTGTGAACAATGAGAAAGAAAAGTAAATAAAAATGTTGTTTGGATGAGATAAAGAGGCTATAGATGGTACTAATTTAGCTAGTATAGATGGTGTAAAAGCTATAGTATAGATGGAGTCTCCCAACAAAAAAAATACATAGTTTTAAAAAATTAAAATTTTCAATTAAAAATTTTTTTAATTTTACTTTGATTTTGATTGTTCTTTTATCAAAACACAATTTTTATTAATTTCATACCTCTAAACGTCGCAAAAATCAGGTTAAAAATTCAAAAAATTAAAATCCCGCCAATTTTGGAATTGTGTTTAACTGACAAAATAAAAGTAATAACAATCCGAAAAAAGCTTTTCTAAGCATACTATTACCAAAAGACATTTAAAAAAACTATTTTGTTTGACAAGTTGGTACTACTGGTACTCTTAACCCCAAGAACAACACATACCCCTCCCTACACCATTTTTAACCGCCTAAAGAAAAAAAGCATGGTAATATAGGCACTATCAGCTTGAAAAATCAAAGAGTACCCCCTTATATCAACATGTTTGTACTGCTGGTACTATTCGTCAAAACCAAAAAAAATACTCCCCCCCCCCTCCCTTCTACACATTTTTATTGCCTAAAGAATAAAAATTGCCATGTGAGAAATCTAAAACTTTTTAATGCCACCTACGTCACATTAATAACCCAATTATTCTTTTAATCGTTAAGATGAAAAAAACGGTTTAAAACCGCTAAACTTCACTTTTCAGCTTGAAAGAATTCTGAAGCGGCATCAGAAGGGAGGGGGGGGGAGGAGAAGTTACATGACCCGCATTTTTCGCTAAACCAATTTTACAAATCGATTAACAAACAAATCGCTACACATTAGCTAAATGTTTGGCTTAAGGAAGGTGTTAATTGTAACACCTGCTTTTCATACCCTCTACCTTACCCTACCCCACCGTAAATTACCCTACCCTACCCTAACGTAACTTACCCTACCCTGCCCTGCCCCAACGTAACTTACCCTACTTTAACCCTAAAAGTTGCTGTTTTTTTGTAATTTAGGCTTGAAAGAAGTTTAGTTTCCTCTTCTAACCCTCCCTTTCCTCAACCCTACACCCCTCATTCAAAGAAAACCCCACTCTTAACAGAATTACAGCGAAATGATTACCAAACAACCACCTTAACATTTTAATTTGCCTGTTTTAATTAAAACAACTTTTTATGTCATCGGAATTCGCAGCAACATTCTTCCATGTCTTAATTACAGGACGAGACAATTAACCCGCCCCAAGGTCGATTAATATGACCGCTATGATCAGAGCAGGACGGGGAGGGTGGTGCGAAACGTGTTATCAGTTCGAGTAATCTTTTGTTTTTGAATAAACAAATAGTTTACAGGGGTAGTAATTCAAATGGTTACTGAGGTTAGAGAGAGAATGATCTTGGAAATCCAAAATTTAAAAAAATCCAAAAATTTCAAAAATTTTTAATTTTAAAAAATTTCAAATTTCAACCGTATTATTGAAAAAAAATTAAAAAGTCCCCCTCTAAATAAACCAAAATTTAAAAAAAAATGTGATATCAGCTACTTGTTACCAAAAAAAATTTTATCCCTCGCCCCCTTACCTCCTCCACCCCCTGCCTCAATAAAAATCGCCGAAAATTAAGCAGAAGGCCAATAACCTACTGTAATATCAATCAAAAAGTAAAAAAACCCTAGTAATAACGTTGACAAAAAAGCTTACAATTATAAAGTGGAACACTCTCTGATTAGACCTCCATATGGTCTGAAAATGATAACTAACTGATAAGATTACAAATTTCAAAAAATGCTGAGTACCAACAATTTTCAAAACAAGCTTATCTGTAGCAAATTGAAGCGCAAACGGAGTGCTACTGGCCCAAATGGGAGGGGGCATGGGTGATAAATCAATTTGAAGTTAGTAGAGTTGAATATAAAAAGGTAACAAGCTCAAAAGACACCACTTTATCAAAAATTTACAATAGACAATATGTCAAGTAAAATCAAGTAATACGCGCCTTATTACCGTGCTTTTATATACGTAAACCCCTTCCGATATAAGGTCTGGTGTTCCTTATTACAATGCTTTATATACCTAAACCCTTTTCCGCTCACTAACATAAGAAATAGCTAATTAACAGAACTTTGGATATACATGTGTTATAAACATAATTCCGTTAAACTTAATTTTCCTTGTTAATCACCGCTAATAAAAAACCTTAATT